AAAAAAAAAAAAAAAAAAAAAAAAAAAAAAAAAAATTGATCCCTGTGGTCTCTTTTCTTCATAAACATTTTCTCACAATTAGTTCTCTCTTCATCTTTTAACTCCAGGCTAAATTGGTGGCTTACACACCCTTCAAGTCAACTTTTGAAAAAAGCCAATCAATAACCCCAGTGTGCCATGATGGTTGTGCCCACGTGGGGTGGGTGTGCCAGTGCAGATAGGTAGGGGGGCATGAAGTTCACTCCAAAAGCCATCTCTCCCGTCCCACCCTTCCAACCTCACAGCACTCAAGCAACAAGAATGTACTGGGTTCTTATAGGAATTCTAAAAAGGTAATTACTATCCTAACATATATAATTTCCTTCTATTCTATAAATATTAAAGAGCTGGGAAGGGAGCAGTTGAGGTTTCTTTCAGTTCGGTATCCACATTAACGCCCATGGAAGTGATGCTGATGGAGGAGGCAGAGCCCAGCTAGAGACCCGCCATCCGCTCCTCTTGGCTAATGTGACTCCTCTCTGTCCTGCTGTGGAGCCAGTGGAGACTGCACCCAGCAAGATAATTCCTTCCAGCATATCGATATACTTTGTCCAACCCTAAACCAGCAAACCCTCTCAGAACAATCCACCACAGTAAATGAGCTCTTTTCCTACCTTTCGGTTGCTATAAAATTTCAATTTTTGTCGCCAAATAAAACTGTTCCATGAAGAGAAAAAAGAAAAATTGTTTTAGGTGAGAAAAGGAGCAGAGAGGAAGTAGAGATGGGCGTCTTGTTCCGGATTGAGCAGAGGTGGCTCCGTTAGAAGACTACATAGAAAAAGTAAACCACTCGAGTTCCAGGAAAGGAAACCTAAACCTGGATGAGGAAGGTACCAGGAGAGGAGTTAACAGATCACTTTTAGGAAGAAGACGATGCTAAAGGTGAGGACAGAAAACACACAGGAGCACACAGCTCTTCCCCTTCAGATGATTTAGCGGCAGAGGGTAGCTCAGCCACCTTTTAGAGTGTCCCCCACACAGACACCTGCTAAGCGACCTGAGTGCACTCCTGGTAGATCTTTCTGTCAGCCAGCAAGGAAGGTGCTGAATCATTTCACATTTCACATTGTGCACTCCTGTTCATAAGTGTGAATGATGGCAAATATCAGAGTCATTATCACAGGTAGGTGTAAAAATATTCAGCCTGGTTTTATTACTAAAAACAAGTAATAAAACTCATGAGTATTATGAATTCCTAATCTACTCATTATGAGTAGACCTTACTGGGAATTTAAAGGATATGAAAAACACTACCAGGAACTTGAAGGACTCATTTTAAGGAGTATAAACAGAATGTTATTAAATCTGAGATAATGGAAGCTGGAAGTTTTGTACTGGGAGAAGTGGACATTGGAAAAGAAAAGCATAGAGCTTGGACCAGACACTTGGGAGTTACTGTTAGCATCCTCACAAGAAATTTAAAAGATTTTTAAAACAATATAAGCAGAAAGTTATTAAACCCAACTCAAAGTTGGAGGTTTTGTACTGGGGGAAGGAAGCACTGGAAAAATAATAAAATGGGAGCTGGCGAGATAGCTCAGGGGACTAGAGTGCCTGCTTAGGCAAGCTTAGGCAAACACAGGGACCATGGTTTGATACCCGGTACTACATGCCATGCAGGTTGGCTGAGCCAGCCAGAGTTCAGGCTTAGTGGCTCGTGCATGTAATCCCAACACTGCAGAGAGTGAAAGCAGGAGGATCACCAAGAGTCCGAGCTGTGTATTGAGACCCTGCAACAACCAAATAATAATAATAATAATAATAATAATAATAATGGATCAATTACTTACTTTTCATTACACTTGCATGAACTATGCCTGTCATTCCTTTTTTTTTTTTTTTTTTTTTTTTTTTTTTTTTTTTGAGGTACCGGGGATTGAACTCAGGACCGTGTACTTGCCAGGCAAGCACTTATTCTACTGAGCTATCTCTCAGCCCCGTGCTAATCTGCTAAAACCCTAGAAAAACATACCAAATCCCAATAGAATTCTAGGTGAATTTTATATCATATGTCTGACACAAAAATGAATACAGAATGGTGCTGGAAAAGTTTCTGCTTCTAAGCATTTCTGTATCATTGATATTTAATGTCAAAGAAATCACATTAAAAAAAAAAAAAACAAGAAGGGGAAAAAAGACAAGCTTTGTACCTTTGAGACATTCTGGGATAGGGGGTTCCCAAGCGTTGTCGCTCCCACAGACAATCTTGTCGCTGCCATTGAGGTAATAACCGGGGATGCACTCAAACACAACCGTGGCTTGGTACAGAAATGTTTTTCCAAATCCTGCTATCTGCCTTCCATTTTTAAGCACTGGAAATGGACATTTGACTACTGCAAAGAAAGAAATAAAAACCCCTGTATTTAATGGAAATGTATCATAACCTAGGACCAGAAAAAAATACAAAGTATTAATTTAGTAGAGACAAAGACAAGAAATAGAACACATTTATAAACAAACTAAAAAATGTATGGTGTGCCACACCAGCCCTGCCCCCAAGCATGCCGAGTCTACCACAGAAACCAGTATGGTGTGCATGTTTGTAATCTGAGCGCTGGGGAGGCTGAAAACAGGAGGATCACTACGAGTGCGAGCTGCGTAGTGAGACCTTGTACCAAATACATAAAATAAATAAATAAATATGGTGATTTGAGCTTAGTGGTGCACAGCTGTAATCCCAGGATTTGAGAGGCTGAGGCAGGAGGATTGCTGTTTGAGGCCAGCCTGGGTGGGCTAGATAGTGAGTGCAAGGTCAGCCTGAACTACATAGCAAGATCCTGTGTCAAACAAACAAAAATTTGCATTTCAAAGTTTTAATATAAAGCATTTTAACTCCAGGTAAGCAGAGAAACCTAGTAACTTGTTCTTCATAGAATAGAATATCATGATAGATCATCCCCCACCCCCGCCAAGTTTTGAGAAAGATTGGACACGTTCAGGCTAAGTTTCAACATGTTTTAATTTTAGGGATTTTTTTCTTTCTTTCTTTTTTTTTTAATTTTTTTTAAGAACTGGGGATTGAACTTAGGCCCCTGCACTTGCCAGGGAAGCACTTATTCCACTGAGCCATCTCCTCCCTGGCCCCTCTAGGGATGTTTTTAAAGGTCATGCTGACACCAATAATGTTACCTTGCTCTTTACAAAGATAAGAAAAGGACTTCCCTGGAAAGGCTTACTTTATCTCAGAAATAAATAAGAAATTAGTCGTACTAAGATGTGCAAAAAGAAATTTATAGAGAAACAAATACAAGTTGGGGTTTCAAGGAATAGAAAGGCTGATGGAGTTATGCCCAAGTTTTGTAAATCCTTCCTAGCTGCAACCCAGAGATGAAGAAATACATTTTATGTTACAAACCAATATACAAGCACACAGGCCCCAAGTAAAACTTAGTGTCAATACTTAGCCTGTGTACTAGTGCTGTTCCCATATTTGCCATTCTATCGTATCTCTTAAGTAAACTGCAGTCATGATGCACTAGATTGATTTCAAGGCCCATCACTGGTTTGGGAGAGTTTGGGGGAAGGGGACAAAAACCACTGGATTGGGCATAGCAAGTGCAGGAGATCAAACTAGAAGAAGGCTTTTCTTTTTCCCTTAGAACTGAACATCTAGATGTACTGAATAGTACATATAGTACTATTCCCTTTCAGCCCTAAGAGCTTCCTTGAGCAATTCTTATAATTCAGTTTGTCTGGTAAGACTCAATCAGCTCTGCTTTATCTAACAGTGTTTTTACTTATTTAATCTTTGGTTGGGAAAGATTTCTCCTTGATACAGAATTCTAGGTTGTGCCTTTTTATTTATTTATTGGATGTAGGGTCTCGCTATGCAGCTCAGACTTGTAGTGATCCTCCTGCCTCAGCCTCCCCAGTGCTGGGATTACAGGCATGCACCCCCACCCCAGTTTCAGTGACTGGCATGGCGAATCCTTCCAGGACCTGCACGGCATGTGATACTGGAGATTGAACCTTGGTCCTTCCACTTGCCAGGCAGTTACTTGTGCCATTGAGCTTGTGTCTTTTATTGGGGCACTTTTGGAGGCACTACTGCCTCCAGCCCCTCAGTGTTTTTTAAAGAGCTCAGTCACTCTTGCCAGACCCTTTATCCACTGCCCTCTCAAAATAATACATATTTTCACTGCTGCTATTTTCTTCTGATTGGCTCCTTTTCTTTCTTTCTTTCTTTCTTTCTTTCTTTCTTTCTTTCTTTCTTTCTTTCTTTCTTTCTTTCACCAGTTATCTTTTGTTTTTGGTAGCTTTACCAAGTTATTAAACTCTACCAAACTTCTAAGTTTGTTTTATTTTTTCTTTTTGGTAAATTTTAATAATTTTTCATTCTGATCTCCTGCACTTTCACTGAGCTTGTTGAAACTAAGGTTGCTGTTTTGAGTCAGCTTGGGATAATTTTTTGGCTAGTATTTATTCAAGTAACTTTCTAGGCTTTTTTCCTGCAGCATGGCTCCGTTGACATTTGGCGGGCTAACGTGCTTCCACAGGTCTGTAACAGTCTCTCCCTTTGAAAATATTTCTTCTTAAATCATGTTGGATTTCTGCTGAGGCGTCTTGAGGTTCAGCGGTCTTTTCACTGTGTTTAGCCCTGGCTAATGACGTTTATAAGTTTGGTACAATGGGCACACAGTAAAAGCTGCCTTTTCTGGTTTAAACATGGATGAGTTTTACAAAATGGTAACAATCACACAAACGACTGCTGCAGTGAGGATAAAGTTCTAGTCCTCTCCACACTTACTCCACCACACTTGTGACTTAGACCCTCCGCCCACCCCGACCCCGCCAGCCCCAACTGTCTGCTACACAGAATTATATAGCCTTCAGAGACCGGCCTATATTACTCAGCATGATGACACTTGGGGCCCATATGTGTTGGTGATTTATATGTACGTGAATGTTTATAAATCAACAAGTGTGTTTCAGATTTTCTCAGTTTGCATTCTTACCAACAGAGTTAAGAGAATGCTAGCTGTTTCGTATGTCTTTGCCAGCATGCAGTGTGGTGGGGGTTATATGTGTTTATGTTCAGCCATTCTAATGTGTGTTGCATGGTATCTCATTTACAGAGATGATTTGATTTCTTCCTTTCCAGCAAGTGTCCTTGTTTTTTCTCTTGCCATTGTACTGGGTAGGACTCCAATACTATATTGAATATAGCAATGATAGCGCACATTCTTGCTTTGTTTCTACCTTAGTTTATTTTTTTAATTACAATGAACTGAATCTTTTACCATTAAATATATGTCAGTTGTGGGATTTTGTAGATGCCTTTGTGTTTTTTTCAGATTGAGCAAGACAGCCAGCTTCTAATTCTAGCCTGCTGAGAAGTTTTATCATGAAAAGATGATGAATTTTATCCAAGTTTTTTTGCATCTAGTAAGATGATACAATTTTCTTCTTTTTTGTGTTTTCGAAATATATTAAATAATTCCGATTAAATTTTATATTGAACTAGCCTTGCATCCCTGGGCTAAACCTTCTTGGTAAAGACTTATGGTGCCACAGGATTTGATTTGTTCATATTTTGTTGAGGATATTTAGTTTGATATTCATTGAGGATACTGCTTGGGCTTTTTAATGTTTTTGTCCAGGGTGATGCTGTCTTTATAAAATGGGTGGAGAAGTGTCATCTTCTGCATTTTCTTGAAAAGTTTGTACAGAATCATTTTTGTTTATTCTTTAAATGTTTTGTTGAATTCCCTGTGGAGAACCTGGGCCGCCAGTTCTCTTTATAGGAAGGCCAAAATGAAAAGTTCTATTACTGTAATAGACATAGGACTATTCAGGTTATCTGTCCTTCTAAATGAGTTTTTGTGCTTAGAGACTGTCAAGAAATTTGTCAATTTTCTTTAAGCTAGTAAGTTTAAGGGCATTCAATTTTATGTGATATTTGTTACAGTATTTCATATATCCACAAGATATTTAGGATGTTCTCTTTTTCATTAATATTGGTAATTTGTTGGGGGGTTTTCTTGGTCCATCTGACTATAAGTTTATCTACTTTATCTCCAAGAGCTGTTGGTTTCATTGACTTTTTTTCTCCTTTCAGCTTCTTTGATGGCAGGTCTGTTTTTATCATTTTATTCTGTTTGCTTCCCTTTAGGTTAATTTGGTAAATGTTTCTTAAGGTGCAGGTTCAGAGCACTGATTTGTGACTGTTTTCCTAGTATAATTATTTCATGCTGTAAATTTCCTCCTAGGTAATGCATTCGCTGTACTGCCCCCCAACACTTTGACATGTGTTTTCATTTTTACTCCATTCAAAATACTTTCTAATTTCCCACCTGACTTCTTTCAGCTATAGAGGAGTCTGGCATAATTTTCAATTATTTGAGGGTTTCCTTGATGTCTTTGTCATTGATTTCTGCTTTCCTTCTATGGTGATCAGATAATATACTAATTTCAATTTTTAATATTTGTCTTTATTTATTTATTTATTTTTGTATTTAGTACAGCGTCTGCAGGGTCTCACTACACAGACCGAACCTGCAGTGCTCCTGTTTTAGCCTCCCAAGTGCTCTATTACAGGTGCATGCCACCATGCCCAATCTCAATCACCATCCCAGTTGAGCTATCTGGCTGGCCCTAATATTTGTTTAAAGTAGTCATGCCAAGATGGTTTTCTGCCTAAGAGATGTTACAGGTGTAATTGAAAAGAGTATCTATGTTGCTGCTGTTCAGGGCACCTCTGATTCAAGGGGCGAATTCTGCCCTGGGTCACCATGTTCGTGGTCACTGTACAGTGCTTTAAACATCTGAGGATTACAAGTTTGTTCAGAGTTTATCATTCAGTATCCAGTAGGATGGTTATTCTATTATAATCAACTTTCTCCTTATCTGCAGTACAACTCTTACATTCTTGTAGAACAAGACACTACTTTTAGATGGGTGTTCATTGTGGTTGTTTCAAACAGAAACAACCCAACTCGGGCATAAGCAGAGTAGTTCACAATGTATTAAACAGAATGTGAAGAACATGTTCAGGGGAGCGACAGGAAACTCTAACACTGAAGTATTAACTTGAGTTAACTTAGTCTGTATTAAATTAAATCAGAAACCACTTTTATAAGAAAAGGAAACATATATTCAATTTTTTGTGTGCTTACTTGTAGGTAAAAGCTGTTTACAAAATATTTCCACAATAACTAGAAGTGAAGAAACAAATGCATCGAGAGATTATTACCTCTGCACTCAGGAGCTGCGCTGCTCCACACTTCCTGGCCAGCACAGTAAAGCACCTCATTTCCAACAAGTGACAGTTTATCTGGTCCTGGGACATCATCACAGCTATAGGTTACTGCTTCAAAATATTGAAATACTTGTACGTCACTGAAGGTGTATTTTCCATTTTTTATTTTTGGAGGTGGTGCACATGACACCTCTTTTTAAAAAAAAAAAGAAAAAGAAAAAATGAAAGACAGAATCAAAGAAAAATTAATATATTATTAATTTTTTTTGGAACTGGGGATTGAACTCAGGCCCTTGCACTTGCCAGGGAAGAGCTTATTCCACTGAGCCATCTCCCTGGCCCAATATATTACTAATAAAGCTTTTCAAATTGTGTTTAATAAATTCATCAATATAGGTGGTCTATAAGCTAATTCAATATCCATCTAGTAAGTTTTCTGTGAAGAAGTGGATTGCCCTCAATTCAAACCTTTAATATAGAATGAATTTTCAGAACAAAGGTTATTTTTTTGAATGTTTAAAAATGTATTTAGAAACCTATAGGAGAGCTAAGGTATAGCTGAGCCAGTGGTAGAGCTCTTGTCTAGCCTCTTAGTCCACTGAGCTATCTCATCAGCCCCTGTGCTGTTTTACTTCAACAAATACCTAAATATGTTTGTATCAAACACATTACAATAGTTATACAGTAAGTTTTAATATGTGGCAGGGCAATCTTATTGTTTTTTCATTCAAAATGTTCCCAGAAGTTCTTGTATATTTATTTATCTATACAGATTTTAAAATAGGCCCAATTCTAAAAGTAGCCCATTGGCAATCCCAGTGGAATGTTTTAAATATACCTATTATTGGTAGAGGACAGTTTTATTCTATTAAGATTGCCTTTATGGAATAAAACATTTTTAATTTAAAAAAATATATTTAGTACAGGTTCTACAGGGTCTCACTACACAGATTAGACTTGTAGTGATCCTCCTGTGTTCAACCTCCCAAGCGCTGGGATTACAGGCACGCACCACCATGCCCAATCTCACAAATGTTATTTTTTAAAGGTACAGAATACTTATATTTATCTGCAAGGCCATGGCAGGATTTCTTCTATGAGATGCTGACAATTTAATATGAGAATATACATGAGATTAAAAGTAAAACTAAATGCTAATTGAGAAATGTTTGATAATTTATAAATACATTCATACTGTAAACTGGTGGTTCACACTAACACCGATCTTCTCTCATTCTTACCCTCAAAGTATGGTAACTTTTGCAGGGACCTTGGTCACACAATAGTTTAACTCCAGATATCTTCCTCCAAGCAAGATTGGCCACAATGTAATGCCACTGTTCTATGATTTTTCAGATTTCAAAATTTCCCATAAAAATGTTATGTAGGCTAACATATATTGAGGTTTTTGTCCTTAAAATGAATTAGTAAATAATTCTTTCTGAAATTCTCCCTTTTAATTCCAATATGATCCGTATCAGTAGCTATCACCCACATGAAGAAAAGCTCCTTGGGTACTTGTTCATCTAAATGCGTAAAGGAAGCCCTAAATCTTAAAAAGCGAGTTTACTTACTTTCACACTTGGGAATTTTGTCACTCCAAAGCACCTTATTTCCTTTAAGTTCACAATATATTCTTTCAGTACCAACCAGGTAAAAACTAAATGAGAAAAGAAAAAGTTATTGTTTTCTTTAGTGGTTAACATGATACAAACAACAGTGAAGGAGATGTTTAGATGTTGTTCTACACGTTGGTAGTTTGAAATAACTTTCTTAAATAACATGCAGCCAAAGTGCCGAACAAACCTGCAATTTACTCAGAGGGAGGCTTCCTCAACAGGAATGCACTGTTCAAGAGGAATGATGTCTAACTAAGTCTCTCACCACCTGCCTGGCAGTCCAGCCTGGTATTTTCTCCTGCAAGCACATTACACATTCTTCACTCCCACATGCTGCTCAGGGAGGACACACAGGGACCCAGTTGAAATGGGCCCCTTTAGAGTGGCTACTTCATGGATGACAGCTGCTTGAGTGTGGACAAAACAGTTCAGGTTTCTCTTGCTCAGTTTGCTCTTCAAAAGAGGATACCTATCGTAACTCATGGTGCTGCCTGAGAATGAAGTTGTTACTAGCATTATTTAGATCAGAAGATCTTTCTAGGACAAGCTCAGGAATATGACTCAATGAAGTCTTCCCTGACTATTTATTTATTTATTTATTTATTTATTTTAGGGAAGGGTCTACAGGGTGTTCAGGGTCTCACTACTAGATCAGACTCGTAGTGATCTGCCTGTTTACAGCTTCCCAAGAGCTGGGATTACAGGTGTGCATCACCACGCCCAGTCTCAATTGCTGTCTCAGCGCACCCCGGGGATGGGGCTGGTATGGCAGGCCTGGAGATCGAACCCCAGGCCCCTGCACCTGTTGGCAGGCACTTTAATCTGCTATTTTGCTGGCCCTTTCCCTGATGATTTAAATTCAGAGAAATCTCTCCTTTTTCTGTACCGTCACGGACATTATCATGAAGTATTCTACTTATCTGTTAGTTTTCCATTTCACTGTATAGCACTGCATATACTGTAGTTATCAGTAAGGCTACAGCTCCCTTGGGAAGGGTCTGAAACCTTTGATTCCCTCAAAGTGTCTAGCAAACCCTTTCTGTACAACCTCCAAGTGAATTTCCTAACATTTTTACTTAAATAAAAAAATAAAACAAAACCCCAAAACAGTGAATATGCATGTAGTCACAGCAGATTCGTCCCCAAGTCCAGCCCTATTTTTAATATAGTGTATTGCACTAGCTCTCTCAATGTACATTTTTCATAAATACCTTATTTCTCCAGTGTATACTATTAAGAACTCTATGGAACAAAACATTCTTCTTGAGTGGCCAGTGCCTTTTTTTCTTTTTAGGTAGTTCAGTTCTCTGTAGCAGTCTCAAAAATAAGGTTTTCCATGTGAAAGATGTTGACTGACCTCTATCAGATCAACTATGGTCTGATTAACATCTGGGGCAGGGTTCTCTGGCCAGAAACCCAGCTTTGGATGGCTCTCTATTTCCCATTCTTGGGTATGTAGGATGAAGTCACTATATTTACTCCACTCTTAATGCTTACAATAGGCTTATTATTTGATAAAACAAGAATTGTACAGCTTTGCTTTCTTTGAGCTTCAGTTCTTTATTACGCATCTTTATTCTGTGCATAAAGCACCCCCTCAGGTTGTTTGGCTAGAAATACAACTTGGCACATAGAACACAAAATTAAAGGAAATGTATATGAATTCCTAAGAACAAAAGGAAAAGAAACAATCAGTAATGTTTACCTTGTTTCCTCTAAGGAGGGACTTACCCCGGAACACAAGTAAAGCGAGCTTGATCACCCCAGGTATGAGTTCCATTTATATATTCTATTCTGCCGTTTACAGGGGGGTTTAGATATGTACATTTCATTTCTAAAAGGAAATCATTGTGAAAGTTTAAAATCCAGTTTCCAAATGTGCTTGAATCAAACCCAAAATTCTGTATTGCTATTTTGGATTAATAGGCTATTACCTTCTTTATTTAACTACTGTATATAAGGGCAAATGTAAGGTTCACCATTACATAGGCGACCAATTGTCAAGGAAAATATTACTTAGAAATGTCTCAAAGTTTGAAAAAAACACATTTAATCAAAAGGATTGTTTCATGTGAGAAAATCATTCCAATAGTGACATATGCACTCTAAAATGTGTGAAAAATTTCAGAGCAAGCACAAACAAACAAACAAACAAACAAACCATATTTGGCTGTATTTACTTACTTAAACATCCATCATCTGTAATAGGCACCCACGAATGATTCTTCTCACAAGTAGAAACCATGAGAAAAATAGGCATAAGAATGTATCCTTTCTTACATCTATACTCTACTGTTTCCCCAATTTGATAATAGGGTTTAGGATTTACAGGATCCATAGCTTCAAATGGTGGTGGAAGCACACAGGCATCTAGGGAGAAAGGAGGACAAACATGAAGATCAAATATTAATATCACTCTGTCCAGGCAGAGCCTGGCTGACACTAGGTAGAGCAGAAACAGCGGCAAACTCATGTTAAGGTTCTACACAATTGTCCTGAGCTTCCAATCAAGTGGAGGAAGTAGTAGAAGAATGTCATTTCCATTTGACAGTAAACTAAAGGATGCCATTTATGTTTGGCCTTTAAAAATAGACCTGAGTGTATATCTTTCTCCAGTTTTTTCTAAATTCCTTTCAAAATTAACACCTCTTCTAAGAAGTCACCTCAGGTACATAGCACTCTGCTTACGGTGCTTTTCTATAGTTTGAAACAGAAGCTTTGGACCACCGGCCCCTCGAGGCTCTCATTGTTCAGAAAGCAAATTCCTAGAGGTCAAGGCCCATGTCTTCCTTTTCTACTACACTTGTACCCCAGGGGTACACAAGAAATGCTGAGGTAAATGGGATGATCAAATAGGCATTGTGGCTTTCAAGGATCGAGATCAGTACAGACTCAAGTATTTGAGAGCACACATCTTCATTCCATTCATTTCATATCAGTGATCTTGCAAGTGGAGAGGGGTCACTTAAGCATAGACATTTACTATGTTGAATATTCTTACATGAACTTTCAATTTTATTTGCATGTGTGTGGAATTTTTATTTATTTATTTTTTGCTTTCTGAATGTAAAACCCAGTTGAATCTTGCCTCTTGATCCTGCCATCATGCGTTTCCTTAGAAGTCTCCCTGCATGGCTGTGGGCCTTTTCATCCAACATGTCCCTACAGTAACAATTGTACTGCTGTGCTTTTCAGTTTTATTTCTGTTTTTGTAGTTTTTTTCTTTTTCTTTTTGTCCAGATGGAGGGGTCACTTTCACTTCAGCAATTCATCATCTTTCAATTATCTGCACAGTCCATTAGGAGAATTATGTAAAATAAGATGACCTTGAGCAAAGGCCTACCTTGCTAAAAGAATCCTAATGCTTGTCCTGAGGTAAGAACTTAAGGACAAAGATCTGTTTCCTTAAACACGAGAAACGTTCCCTTCAGCCCATGTCATGTTCTAAGCTCTACATGTATCTCCATATTGACCCAGTATTTTATGTACACTCTGTTCTACAATCTGCCTGTTGACAATGCTCTCATTTCAACTGTGCCGACCTTGTGCTCTCAACATTCCTCGGTCAGTGGCCTAAAACAACAGCAAAAGGCTGTAGTAACTTAAATCATTGTTATGAAAAAAGTACAGAGTTGGATTTCTATTGAACCAGGGTCTCACTATATAGCCGAGGCCAGCCTTGAATGTGCTACGTAGCTCAGGCTGGCCTCAAGCTTGATATCCTCCTTCTACTGCCTCCTCGATTTTATTTTATAATAAGAAAAAGGAGGGGCTAGAAGTATCTAGAATTCTGTTCTGGACTTCTGGGCACATACCGTCATTCTAGGATCTCCTGGAGCCAGCAAAAGCAGAACACTGAATTTTCCTCCTGTTCAGAGGTTCACACTCCACAGCCCAGCTTCAGTGCTTAACTTTTCTATATTCTACAAGATGACTGATTTGAAGCTCTGTGGCCAACCTATAACAAAGGAGGCCAATATTATAGTACAACAGGATGTCGCAGGTGAGTTCAGGGGAGTGGAGCAGCTCCGTATGCTGGGTCTCTTGCAATTTGCTCACAGATGCCATTTCTCTGACCCTCATGAGTACCACACCAAGACACCAGAAACTTCCATTTGACCAAAATTGGAGCCACAAGGAAACCTGGCCATCTTATATTGCTCTTTCTCCTGTCCTACACAGCTCATTTGTTTTTATTTGTGTAAGCTTGTGATGCAGAGTAATTACATTTGTTTTGGGAAGTTGGTCCATGCAGAGATTATGTCTGGATCATTTTCCATTTCCTTACTCCCTACCTTTACCCTCATCACCACAAAATTCACCACTATGTTTCTTATAATCTTTCATTTATTTTATTCTTTATATTTTAGGTTTCTCATATGTATGAGAAAAAAATGCAGACTTCCTCAAAATGCAGACTGACATCTATGCCTGGGGATATATTCTTTATTTCTCTCATTTCTAGGCCACAAAAATTACATTGATCACTTTCAGAATCATCAAATGGTTCTTGCTTGTTAAATTCACACTAACAATCTCTTCCTGGGCAGTTGGTCACCTTCTTGATCACATCTGGAACTGTCCATTCCATCCTTTTCTCCTTCCCTCCTTCCTTAGCTTCCTAGAAAGTATGGGCCTTGGTTTTCAGCTTGTCCCCAGGCCCGAGGTGGATCTGTGACATCTGTCTGAGGACCTGGTGTTCTTCGTCACTCAAGGCCACCTCTTGTGTCTTCACTGCTGTGGAGGCCAGCTGCCTTCCCAGCCCCTCTCCCACATGGAGGTACCAGTTCACCTATTCATTGCCTTGCCTGCTGCACCCCTTAACTGGACCTGTCCCCCACCGCAGGCAACACAGTGAAGCTTCATTTATCACATGCCCAAGTCTCAACTTTGGTCTCCCCAGATGCCATGTCTGTTCAGCCTCCTAGTGCTCTCCTTTCCCGAGTTCCTCTCATTTCTCCTCTGCGCTGCCCTGAGTGTGTCTGAGGAGGTCTTCTTAGATGTCTTTTTACCTTTCACTGGCTTCACTGAATCACTGAATTCATTTTCCACACTTGATCAGAGTTGTTCAGAGTTCTCCATATACTGCAGTCATTGAGGAGGCCCTGATGAGACAGATCCTCTTCAGTAGCTCTGCAGCACCTCAGGGTCACACCCAAAGCTCCTTAATAAGATCTACAGATCTTCAAAGTCCCTGTGTCCAGACCCTGCTCACATGGAGCACACTGAGGGAACTTAGTGCCAGCCTTGGCTGTGGTGTTCAGGTGTCCAGGCCTGTGCGATCACTGAACTTGTTTTGTATTTTAGGAGCTGCTATCCCACCCCAGCCCTCCCAGCTTCCTCTTAGTAGCAGCTCTTCCTGGAGGCTGCTTGCCTTTGCTTACTTAAAAACTTTGGGTTCTGTGTTCCTGTGGGGCTCTGCTGGACTCCTTTTGTAACTTGTTTTCTGGGGTACTTCCTTGTTGTTTAGAACCACATGGGACCACGCCTTCCCAAGAACCACATCATCCTGAGTCTTGTCTCCCCAGATTTAATCCACCCATAATCCCACCTGGGAAACATGCTCTGCCTTCCCCTGGTGGCACGGACTAGTTGCCCTCCCTTGGACTCTCCCAGCATGCATTTCTCAGGGAACCACCACAAGCATTTGAGTCTCACAGCTGGCCTGGCTGACTCCATGCACCCGTGTGACCACACTCATACTACAATATGTCCCTTATAGTAGCTGTTCCCACTATCATCAGGCACAAAGCAGCGATGGAGAGTATGCTGTCATGAATTTCGTATTGCAAATAATTTCTTGGAGTGTTTAACTACTGGTGAAGGGTGAACTGGCCACTTCTTTAGCTTCTTCCTCCCAGTATCCTAGAAACCTAGTAACCTACCACACAACTCTGTACCCTCAGTATGTGGAGTAAGGAGGCTGAGACCCCCACATAAGCATTTGTGATCTTGGTTTCTTTATCTGGACAGAAAAGGTCCTCAAATTAGCAGATGAGCCATTTCATAACAAGAGACTGTAGACTTTGTTCAAAAAAGTAGCCCCCCTCTGGAGGGAGGAGACTGGTCCCACAATTTGAATAATGTCCCTCTGTGACCTCAAATCATCTGGCAGCCCCTGTTGAGCTGGCAGCCCCCCATGCCCAGCATTGTCTGCCCATAAAGACATAAAGCTTGTTCATGAGAACAAGCTGTTCCAAAAAGGAAAGGCTTATTTTATCCACCTGTTCTCCCTGCCTACCCTATTGAGTTTTCAGCTTTCTTGTTGCTAGGTTTCACATTTCTCTTGACTTTACCTTTGACCTCTGCTCCCCATTTCTATTACCCTTTTTTGTGTTTTTTGAGACAAGGTCTTCCTATGTACCCCAGGCTGGCCTTTGAACTCAAGGTCATCCTCTTGCCTCAGTCTCCTCAGTGCTGGGATTATGAGCATGAGACACTATGCCTGGCTCCTATTACCCCTTTTAGAAGTGAACTATTTTGTAAGCACTAAGAAGCAAGAGTGGGCTGCCAGGAGTCCTGAAGAGTCTCCTGAGGTTAACGGACTACCTCAGCACCCTAGAAAGGCTGCCTTGGCATGGTCCTTTAAAGGACTTTCCTCTTGGAAGTAGGAGGAATTGTTTCCTGTGCTCTGAGCTCCTGGAAAATGTGATACTTCTCTGGTACTCAATAAAGGTGTTGATGAGGCTAAAAATCTGCCATTGAGAACCTCAAATGATTACCAAAACAGGTAAGATCTTTGTCTTGGAAAGGCGAGAAGTAGAGAACAGAAAAGCTAGTATAGGGAGCCCATGTTGGGTTGAGGGGTGTATGAGCTGGTGTGTGGGAGGTCTCCCTAAGCAGGTGATACTCCAGATGCCTCTCCAGGATTAAACAGCCCAGTATGGCATGAGGGAAAAGGAAATGTTCCATGGAAGGCCGAGGGGACAGCGGCCACTGGCCACAGGGCCTGTGTGAGGCACAGGAGTGTGGGCCCTGCCTCTGACAGTTGTCACGTGTGCTCAGATAGTGCCCCTGTCCTCCTATTCACTCCTCTTGGTTTGCAAAAAAATTCGTTAATACGCAGATTTAATTAATATCTGCCAATAAATCTCAGCAAATATTTCGATTGCCTGCTATTTGTCACTAGGGTTATCTGAGACAGAAATAAAACTCTCGTCTATTCTATTTACCTGTGTATTGCGTGTCAACGAATAGAGAAAGATGGAGCAGGTTAGGGACCGTCGCTTCCTGCCTAGGGCTCCTTCCCTAGAAGCAGCCCAGGGCCTGGGCCTCGGAAGTCAAATACTACTAAGTGGATGTTGCTCTTATGATGCTTAAGCTTATGGGTGAATGTTGCTGAGAAAAAAAAAATGCAGCGATAAAGGACTGGATGCATCAGACGGTGTAGAAACACCACAGATACAGGACGTGGAAAACGGACGGCCTTTGTGTAAGTTTTATCCAATAAGGATGCATTCCACAGCATTTTAGAAGTATCCCATTCAATGAAACATAAAACAAACCAGCTTAATATTATTTACCAATCCTTTTGTAGGATGTAGTTTCTCCATAGGCTTGGTTAACAATGAATTGTAGGTCGCTACTTTCAACTATGACTTAATGAACAGGGGAAAATGTCAAAAGCCTTTAGGGAATACTTAGGTAACGGACAGACAGAAAAAACACAAGAACCTGTGTAAGCCAGGCTCAGTTCTGTCTGGGGCACCGAGGAGACTTCAGGAAGACAAAAATCCAAACGTCCAAACCCGGCACTGACTTTGCCCCCGGGGCCCTTCCTAGGACAGTGCGCCCTTGCCGCCGCCCAGCAGCTCCGGCTGGGCTCCGTCCCTCGAGCTCGCAGCAAGCTTGGCTGCGGGCCGGGCCAGGCCGATCTCCTGGGGCCATCGGCCGCCGCCTGCACCGGCCCCGCCCCACTCCAGGTCCTACCAGAGGAGGCAGCCAGCAGGGACCCCGCGGCCAGCAGCCAGGCGCCCAGGAAGCGCCACCGACCAGCAGCGCGACCTTCGCCGTGGTGAGGAGGCGCCACGCACGGCGCGAAAGACGCCATCATCTTCCCAGAGATGAGCTGGAAACTGAACCGGCAGCACCAGGTTGCCCACTTTGAGCCCACTTGTCCAGACGCAACAATCTCAGACACACACAGGGTGAAGGGCCGCAGGGCGGGTGGGCGTGGCCGGAGAAGGAAGCGTCCTGAGGCGGAGCAGGATGGACCAATCGGACGGCGGAAGGGCGGGGCCCTAACCAGGTGGGACCAATCCTAGAAGCATAGGGCGGGGCCTTGACGCGGTGGGCGGGGCCTCGGAATGGCAGTCCAGGGCCTGTAGATGGCTAAGGCGTGGACCTCTCCGGCCCAGAGCTACTGCGCTCTGGCGGTGTCCCGCGCAGGCCACCTCGACGGCCGCGGGGCGTGCGGGAAGCCTCGGTGGCTACCATCAGTGTTGCCACCCTATCCGGGGATGGGGGTGCACAAGCACCGCTGGCCTTGTCATCATTTCCGGAGCTCGGCTTAAAGCAGCCCACCGATCTTCAAGGCTGCAGCAGCGGGCATTGCTTACCGTAGGCTGCCGTACGACCAGCCCCTTACTCTAGGTCTGGCTTTGGTCAGGCGTTATTTGGGACAATAGCTTGAGCTTTTCTTGCTTGAATGCTACTGACTTTTCTCTTGGCCTTCTGTCGCAGTTTGCAAAATCTGAGAGGCTTGGCCACGACATTCCTCAGGTAATCTGTTCTTCCTCTTCCTGGTGCACTCAAGGAAGCCCCTTGCCCTCCAGCAATTTAATGCTGGCCTGTTGGTGACGAAGTATACTGTACATGCATGTAAAATGTAAAGAAAAAGGGTGCGCGGAGATTGCTAAGTGCTGCAAGAACCCGGGGCGGGGAGAAGTCCCCATGAATCCCCGTGAAATGGATGGAAGGGGGAGCGGAATTTTTTTCTACTAAAATTGTTTCTCAATGCTGGAAAATAAAGACTGAGCAAGACTGATTTGCAGAGTTGTGAGAAAAACCTGTGCTGCTGTGTTGTTTTGTTTTGTTTTGTTTTGTTTTTTTTCTTTTTTAAAGGGAGCAGAAATGTCCTTGCTAACAATAGACAAAGTTGACGTTTTCTTCCTCTCACGCTGGCAAAGAATAAAAACAACCAGTGCATGAACACACTGGGAAGTTCGACCAAGTTTTAATCTTTAGCATAACTTTTCAGTATGTGAAAAGTCTTAAAAGTGAACGTGACTTTTGGGCTCCAGTTCCACTCAGCATTTACCCCAAAGAAATCAGAGCTGTGAACAAACATTTACAGTTTGTAGAAAATTAAACTGTCTAGCAGAAGCATTAAGGAATTGATGATGGATACTTTTATGTGATGGAATTCTATGCAGCCAGCATTGTAAAAGAGTATTAGTTGGAGAACTTGATATATTTGTAAATGGAAAAGACAGAGTCTAAATCAGAATCTGCCTATTATTAAAACAAAAGTACTGTATCGATACGCATAAAAAGAGTAATTTGAAATTCATTTTATTTGCCCTTTTCACATTTGGAATAAGGATTTTAAATTTATGTCACAAAGTATATTTATGCACTGGTTGATGTTTTATTATAATTTAATGAACAGCTATGAATTATATTTTATCCTTTATTATATATGCATAGGGCTTGTTCATAGGACGATGGGGTAGAAGCTGTTTTGCACGGGGTTAGTATATGAGTTGGTACTGGGGATTTTGAGGCTTATGCTATAAACCCCAATGCATCCTGCAAAATTGCAAGAGTTTACTTGTATGTATCTGTACTTGAGATGTCTGAAGACTTCCTGGATTCACCAAACTATACACTTCCCTCTTATCAGAACACAGCTTTTAAAATCCTTGGCTGAGCAGACAGACACTAAGTGTGGAGGTGGTATAAAAAATAAACACCTGAGTATAATACAAAAAATTCTACAATGACAATCAGAGGCGGTGCAGGTGAGGAGACAGGGAACCCAAAACTCAGGAGGGAGGAATAGGAGTTTGTGTTAATGCCCGCAGCTGTGAAGGAGGGCTGGGACAAAGGTTATGCGGCTCAGTACTGGCACGGATTTGTGAAAACAGAACCTCTTACTGTTCTCTGAAGCAATAAGCATTAAATTCTATTTCTGAACTTGGAAGATTTTTTTCCTGTAAGTACATTAAAAAGTTAGGAGAAATATTTTGGCTACTGTTTGTTTTCCTACTTTCAAGGGTTATTCTTTCACTGAAACTTTGTTCCAGCCAGTAAAATTTCTATCTTTCAAGATCATTAGACTACTCTTAATATAAAGAATTTCACAATGGTTTTCTAAAATTTTGATTTCACCCAATGAAGGCTCAGTTTGCAAGGTTGTGGGCCTTGTCCTCTACTTTTCTGAACAAGTTTCATGTGTCAGGGCTGTCATTTTCATGCAGTATTGCAATGCCAAGATCCCTAGTAAGTGCTCCATGAATAAATGATAAATACTGTATGGGATAAATGAGTCCTGGTACCAGCGTTAAGTGCAATGAACACATCGCCAGTTCTGCCCAGCAGGAACTGAACAAACGGTATGAAAGCTCTGAGACTTTAACAATCTTACAAGCAATCTGTCAGGCACTATCAGCTTGTTAGTGAAGTGCAGCTACTGTGTGTGGCTCGGCCCTGCCTTGGGATTTTCTTGACTCATTCAGAGGTACAGTGTGGACAATGAGCTTCCAAGCTAGAGGTAGAAATCAGGAGTCAGAGCTTCGAGTGAAGTCATGACTGAAAGTAGGGCTTCCTCTGACTCGCCCTAAAGATTTTTTAAAAAGACAGAAGATGTACGTGTGTGTTGGTGGGCCAGGTTTACAACGACATACAGACTTCTTTTAAGGCTTCATGAGAGTGGATAAAGGAGTGTGTGGCAGAATGCCATGAGCCAGCTTCTCTGCCATTCGATGTTAGCTGAGTCTGCATATTTACATTATGATTTTCAGAAGTTGGGGTAGCAGCGCCTTAGGCCTCTACTTGTGCTTCCCAAGCACCTGCCATCCGCTGACCTCCAGTGAATCACATCTGATTTCCTTTTCACTTACCAGTAAGAATATGAGTGTGGTGTGCAGGAATTCGGAAAGTGACAGAGGTGGAAGCAAGGGCATTCTTGGAGGGAACACAGACTCACTTTATTTAGCCTTGCCTTTTGAAGGCTTAAAAGTGTAAACAAACACTTTTATTATATTTGATAAATTAGTTTGGAAAGATGTATCTTTTTTTCTCTCTTGATATAGTAAGCACATTTTATTTAAAGGTCACAGACTTATCTTCTTGGTGTTAGGGATTTGACCCTGTACCTTTGCCCTGAACTATATCCCCAGCCCTTTTTTATTTTAATTTTGAAACAGTATGTCTCAGTAAATTAGCATTTTATTCCTGTAGTATATATTGTATTTTCCATGATAATGTAATAGAAAATGTAATAGAAAAATAACCTCATGGCTTTCTTGCAGTTAAAGTCATAGGCATGAGATATTTATTGTACAGGTTGCTGAATGATCCACTCCACTATGAAAAAAAAGTTCTTTCTCATGGCAGGGAATGCTAATTCAAGAAAGGCCAGTTCTCAAACATTTAGCTTCTAGTCTTTCCCCTTCTTCTCTCCTTTCTGTCCCCCTCCCAGGACTGAATCTAAGCCCTCACACTATACCTTCAGCTCTGCTTTAATTTTTTATTTTGAGACAGGGTCTTGCTTTACTGTCTCTTCTGGCCTTTCATTTGAAATCCTCCTGTCTCAGCCTCCAAGTAGCTGGGATTAGAGACATACACCAGCATACCTGGCCTCTAGTTCTCCTTGAAAAATTACATTTTCAAATTTCCAAGATATAATAGAGGGCCAGGAAGATAGCTCAGCACCTGCCCGGCAAGCACAGTGACCCAGGTTTGGTCATATATTAGAGATTTGCTAAAGATCTGGCTGAGGAAACAGTGACTGAAACTGGGTGTAGTGGCACATGCCTGTAATGGCAGTGCCTGAGAGGCTGAAAACAGGAGGATCACTACAAGTCTGATCTCTGTAGTGAGACTCTGTAGTCCCTGTACTAAAATACATTAAAAAAATTACTTTTTAAAAAAAAAGATCTGACTGAGGAAAAACCCAATCTCTGAGTATCTTTTCATATATTCACAGGCTAGTTATCCTTCTTCTCTGGTGACCTGACTCTGTGTGGCTGTCGATTGGAGGTGGGGTCTTCCAAGGGTCTTTGAACCTTTGAGAACTCTAAAGAAAGCAATTCATTTTTACGATACTAGTTGCATTTCTTCTTGTTTTCTTCCTTCTTTTTTTTCAGGGAGCTTTACTTACACTCCTTTTGCCTTCCACAATTTTCAGTTGTTATGTCCACAGCACCTGTTACACTGGTGTCAAGAGAATTGTGAAAGAACACCTGAAAGCAGCTGTGAAGACACAGACTTGCACAGCAGCGAGCAGAATGCTATGAAGCTGTTATGCATCTCTGTTCTGACATTTCAAGAAATTATTAGCATGGTCCTTCATATACCAAATTTTTGTTATATAAAGATGTGGCATGGCTAAGGAATATGCTTATTTTTAAAGTGTCAACTGTAATGACATAAAAAATTTTTAAATGTATTTGGCATAGGGTCTTACTACGCAGCTCGGACTTGTAGTGATCCTCCTGCTTTCAGTCTCCCCAGTACTGGGATTATAAGCATATGCCACCACGCCTGGTCTTGGTGGTTGGTTCAGCGCACCTGGGGATGGGGCTGGTGCAGCATATGGTACCAGGGATCGAACCCCAATCCCTGCACTTGCCTATGCAGGCGCTTAGTCCGCTGAGTTATCTCACCAGGCCGGTAATGATTAATTTGACAAAATCTTTTTAAAAAGACAGACACAGATCCAGGGATTTAACTCGGTGGAATAAGTGCTTACCTGGCAAGCACAAGGTTCTGAGTTCAATCCCAGGTACAAAAAAAAAAAAAAAAAAAAAAGACTGACACAAAATTGTACATACTTTGAGGTACTATATGTTTTTTTGTTACATGCATTTATGTATACTGTATAATAGTCAAATCAGGCTAAGTATTTCTCCTCAATATTCATCATTTTTCATAGTAAAAGCCTTTGGAAATATTTTCTTCTAGCTTTTGTTTTGACATATACAGTAGATTATCATTCTCTATGGCTCCCCACTGTGCAGTAAGACACTAGAACTCAACCCTGCTAGTGCCCACTGACTGATGAATTCTTAAAAGTTGTGCTTTTTAATCTAGTATATTCTCAATTCGTACAAAACACTTTTATAATAAGAAATATTATTTTATTTCAGTTTTTCACTTTTTATACATGACATGATACAAAGTGCTTTAGAAATGGAATTTAGGAAATACTCAGAGCTTAATTATTTCGGGTACTTCCCCTTGGTAGCCTCGACCACTTTTCCTCATAACTATTTAAGGCCTTTCAGTAAAGAAAATTCACTTTACTTCCCTAAAGAGAGTAAAATCTGATAAATATTTTACTCCCATTTATCTAAAGAAGTGCTGCTCTAGAATACAAAGGAATTAAGAATCTGTATGCACACGCAAAGGAACAGATGTATAAAAAAGACTGACAGAAAATGAGCTAACATAATGAGTGGTTAGCAGTATATATCTCCCTGTATTTTCCAAGTACTATTTTAACTATTTCAAGTTATAAACATTTTACAATAAGGAAGGAAAACGACAGACTTGTAAACCAGAACTGCTAGGCAACAGCTTGCTACCTGTCAGTAAACAAAGCTCTTTTCTACGTTCAAAGTGCAATCTTCTCCTCTGGCCAGCTAGCAGAGAGGTTCGGCAATGTTCGCCAGCCAGGCCGAGGTGGGCGCTCTGCTGCACGCACGCACGCACGCACGCACGCCGGGAATGCCTCCGCAGCTTCAGGGGACCGCTCGCATCATCTCCGTGGGGTCGCTTGAAGGATTTCAGAATCTCAGATTATCTTACTGTTGAAATGAATTGGCTCCTCTCCAAGTCACACGGAATCGGAGGTGTTCGCCAGCAGTTTTCTAGTACTGTGTGGAAGAGGGCCTCTAAAATTACAGGGTATCTTTATTTAGACGACAGCACGGTGAACTCCCCAGAACACGCGTGCGGATAATCCCAACACAGCCTCACGTACAACTGCGAATTCACGGGCTGTGCTCACTGCCCCCTTGTGGCCGCTGTGTGGGGCGCGCCAGAAGGGGAGGACAGACCCTGGGTAGGTTGAGAACCTGATCCCTGAGCACCCTGATCTTTGCCTTTTCTGTTCTGCAGAAAAACTTGCTCTCAGAGTTGAAGAGCAAAATGAAAAGAGCTTCACTGCAGAATACGGACGATAACATATAAAGATCCAGTTGAGTCCCTTCTGAACACCGGTGGGGTGGGCAGCACGCAGCGGCTGATAGCCCTGGGAGGTGTCAGCTTCACAAAGCGTGGCCCCCTGCTCAGATTAAAGCCAAGAATATCCAAGCGCTTCTCTAGCTGCAGGCAAGCCTCTCTCTTAGCCAGAAAGGTCCTTTCCCAGCTGTGAACAGACCCCCAGGAGGTCCACCAGGGCACCTGAGCCCAGGTGTCACTGCCGTTTGGTTTTTCCCTCTTTCTGTCTTACAAGACTTCTCAGCCTCACCTGCTACCTGCATCTCCTCCAGAAGTTCTCATATGTATCCTCCGCACATGCAGCTGGGTCTCTGGCACCTGCTTCTTCTTCTTCTTCTTTTTTTTTTTTTTCCGGAACCGGGGATTGAACTCAGACTCTTGCGCTTGCCAGGGAAGCACTTATTCCACTGAGCCATCTCCCCGGCCCTGGTCCCTGCTTCTTTACCTGTGTCACCTACTCTGTCACCGAGCCTTCACATGGATTCAGATTCCAATTCATTGCTCGTCCACTGCATGTTACCACAAATAACCTCTCTACTGTTAAATGGCCAAAATTCCAATTATAAAAAAGAAACGTGAGACAGCTGGTAAGGAACTCTGCCTTTCAGCTAAAAGGTGACAACAGTCAACAGGCTGAGGTGAAGCTTATCGTGAAGGTGCTTGCAAAAGTTAAGGAAAAATCAAACTGTGATAAATGTAATACTCAAGTATTTATGGAACACCTCTTAATTCATTCTATTCTCCGAGGTTTTAGGAAATTGAAAGTGAAAGGCTTTACTCATAAGAAGTTAATAATTTAGTATGGGAAAGGACATAAAGCACAGTATGTGGTACAATATATGTAGTTGATGAATGAAGACAAAAAATAGACAACTGAATGGATGCAATAGCTTTTAACTAAAAAAAGACACATGAATGTCAATTACTATGGGACATGTTTATATACGGTTTTAGTGATGGGACAGGAAATTGTCACTAGTGAAAAGAAGCAGGATTCTTTTGCACAACAATTTAATCTCAAAGTATAACCCTGCAAATGTAAAATAATATTCAGAGAATCTTAAAATTACTTATTACTACTGGGAGGAATCTGTTGTAGGTCATTTACATTTGTATTTTTGTATATTTCCTGTTTTCAATCCTGCACAACTACTGCTCTGAAGAGTTTACTTTAAAAATGGTTCAGGCAGGAAATGCTGCTGAGAACTTCACAAAGAGACATCGTGCCAGACTGGGGTGATTTAGGGGGGCTGGGGGGTGAATCCTGAGCCTGTTGGTGGAAGTCAGATAAGAAGAAGGGATACGTGTTCTAGGCAGGTAATGATTTTCAAAGAATTACATTTTAACCACTCATGTAATTAAAAAAAAAAATTCAAATTACCATCGCTCTCATTTTTGTCTGTTTATAATTGGTGACAACACATCTGGCCTGGAATCACTTTTGTGTAGCTTTTCCATCCCAGCACCCTTTTAATAAAGGAAAACGAACCTTGCAAGCATAACTGGACGCATCCCCCAAAGCACAGGACTCTGTATGTTCATCTCAGAATCTCCAGCCTCACCATCGGTTCCCTTATGTGTGGATTTGTGTCAGTGTACAAATAATGCAAATTTCCCTTCAAACTATCAGAGTAACACTGGGAAAAGGTACAGTTCTAGGATAACATGCTGCCTTCATCTCAGCACTGCCATACCCTCTTGCTATACCAACTATATATCCCAAGGCATTGGGAAATGCCCATTTATAGTAAACGTATCAATGAAGCTTCAAAAGCTAAAATATCCATTATGATTTCTTAAAGAAGCAATGTATATTTCATTTGCTATCACAAATAGTAAGGAAAAACAAGCTCTAAGACAGGAGTATAGTACCTAGGAAGCCAGATAATAGACAGAGAGCGCTGGAAATTCATCCCTAGTACAGGAGAACAAAGGACAAACTTGTAGATTTTTGCCTAGAGACGTTTGAGCTGTTTGTATTTTTTTTCTTGGCCAACTAAAAATATATCTTTTCTGTTCTCTTGCCTTTTGTAGTCCCTTCCACTGTCCTTGCTTGAATTTAGGGTTTGCGGTATGCATAGAAAAAGGTGAGGTTTAGATTAATGTGCATAAATGTGAGAAAGGGACAGGACACCCCAGATGTTTATAAACGAGTGTGGTGCTTTTGCTTCTGTTTTCTATAGAAGTACGCTTCCTAAGGCATGTGTATTACCACTAAAGATGACCTGAGAACCCACGGGCTAGGATTCCCGGGCACAGCCAGAGTAAAGAACGGCCAAGTGCTCTGTGTGATTCAGAAAATGGAGCTTTGCACCTGTGAGAGGCCCAAGAGTTGAAATGAAGTACCCTGAAGTATGCAGCAAAGATCTGACCAGAGACAGGAGTGCCTGAGAAGAGGTGGCAAGCTAAGGCAGGAGGCAGCGCACAGTGAGAAAGACCTCGTGGTATGACACAACTCAGGGTGAGCAAACTGTCCCACTAAAGGACCAGGAAGTAAATCCCTGCGCCTTGGGAGCCACGGGAGCTCTGCTCAGCCCTGATGCTGCCGTGGGAAAGAAGCCCAGGAAGTAGGGAAGCCATGGGGTGTGGCTGCGCAGTGAAGTTTGAAGAGCAAACCTAGGTGGCCTCCTGCTGGTTTGTCCCACAGATAGTGGTCTTCGGGCCCCCGCTATGGTGTTACTGCCTGCCTATGACTTGCAATACTCAGTCTTACTCAGTGTCACGTGCCGTTCTGAGTTGCAGTCCTATTTTCTTTTTCACCCCATTTATTACACAGTGGTTCATGGTGAGGCTGCAGCAAGGAGGTGAAATGATGGGTTGGGGATGGGAGAAAACTGCAGTGGAGGACAGAGGAAGAGAGCCATAGGAGGCCACAGGAGGCAGAGAATGAAAGTCAGAACACAGGGGAAAGTCAGAGAAAACCTCAGATTTCCACATGAATGGAGACTGGAGAACTGGGAGGTGCACCCAGGTGTTCCCAAGAGAAGCAGGAGCCCGTTACTCCTCACAGGTTTAGAACATGCATCACAAAGCATGGGATGCTTTGATAGCACAAAAGCATCCTAGGGCTGCCAGAGCCTACGCAGGACCTCTGGAAACAGAAATAGAAACACTCCAGAAAGAAACACACACAGCAATGCACAAATGTACTCTCAGCTCATGAAGTAGTCTCTACCTTCCTTGCCGTCAGTGGCCTTCCTAGTGGCGTCTCCTATTCAGGCTCTGTTTCCACCTCTTTAGTATTTATGCTGCTGTAACCATTTGGATTCAGTATATGGACACGTACCTGCTGTCTTCCTGGCTCATGAGCTGAGTCTGAGGATAAACAGTTGCCTTCTGGAGGATACAAATGGACAGTGACTTCTGTAGATTTTTCACCTCTGTTAGTGCTAATTGGCAGAGAAGAAAAACATCAGAAAATTACCTTAGTCATATGTTTCAATTTTAAAGGAATTTGTAACTTTCATTTTGAGGTTTTTAAGGTATACTATACTTTGACTCCAATTCCTGCTATCTTTATAAGATGTCTAAAAGAAGAAGAAAAAAACCCAAATCTCATCTTTCACTACTAACTGAAAACTTGAATTTGGAGGTAATTCTAAAACTATCCTGTATATTGTCAGAAGACTACATCTTTATGAACAAGTATTCATGCATTAAAAACCAAATATTTTGCTATTTCTAAAGTAATTTGATTAGTAAATGGGGTTTGCCAGATTTTGACAAACTTCACAGCGCAAATGGCTTCTGGCTCTGCAACCGTACACAGGCTTCCTTTTCCTCCAGAGAGGAGGCACACGTTCTATTTTGTGTTCTAGTGACAGCCACAGTTAGAGGCAGCAGGGGAGGCTGGGAGGAGCAGCCGCGTCTCTCCCCGGGCTCCACAGCCATGTAGTCAACCAAACACAGAGCCAAAGGATCTGGAAAACCTTGTAAGTGTGCTGGACACATACGGACTTTTTCTTGTCAACAGTACTGCTACGATGCAGTGTAACGATGATTTACGTTGTCTTCTTGGCATTATGTGTAACCTAGAGATTATTTATGGTATATAGGAAGTTGTAATAGTATATAGAGCAGTCCCACAACCAACCAATCACCTTTGGATGCTAGGATTGACTGTCTATAAGAACTGGGAGGAAAAGGAAATATTTAATCACTTTTTAATAATAATAACAATAATGGATAGAAAGTCACAATATACACCATCAAACAGGAAGAAACAAATGAACAGATGAATAAGTGTTTTTCTAGCTCATCAAGAAGTTTTGGTTGGGGGCTGGGGAGATGGCTCAGTGGACTAAGTGTTTCCCTGGCAAGTGCAAGGCTCTGAGTTCAATCCTCGGTTCTGTCAAAAAAAAAAAAAAAAAGTTTCGGGGCCAGCGAGATAGTTCAGCAGACTAAGCATCTGCGTAGGCAAGTGCAGGGACCAGGGTTCAATTCCCGGCACCACATGCTGTACTAAGCTGGCCATCAAGACTGGGCCTGGTGGTGCATGCACACTTATAATCCCAGCACTGGGGAGGCTGTAAACAGGAGGATCACTATGAGTCTGAGCTGCATAGTGAGACCTTGTACCAAATACATTAAAAACAAAACAAAAAGAAGTTCCTAACTTCAGCTCAGTGCCCGTGCTCGTATGCTACTCAGGCTGTTTCTGTTTTCAGTGCTTGAGGCTGCTGCCAACATTTGATGTCAGCATGTGTACAGGTGCCTGCTACCTCCCTGACTTTTCAGCTGAGCTTGAGGATGAACCCAGTTACCTTCTAGGCGATCTAAGTGGACATTCACTTTATACTTTTTATTTTTATCATTGGTAATTGGCAGAGGACAAAAATAGGAAAACTTACTCATATAAGTTTCAATTCTGAAACAATCTATTTCACTTTGAGATTCAAGTTACAATTTGACTAGTATTTCTGACATCTTTACAAGATGTCTACAAGAAGAAAAAAAAAAAAAAAAAACACCCAAATCTCCTTTTTCAATACTAATTGAAAACTTGGATTAGGAGATAATTCTAAAGCCATTCTATGTATTGTGCCAGAAGATTCTAAGTTGTTTATAGACAGGTATCCACACCCTAATACATTTCCCTATTTTAAAAATAATTTGATTAGTAAATGGGGTTTGCCAGATTTTGACAAACTTCACAGCGCAAACGGCTTCTGGCTCTGCAACCATACACAGGCTTCCTTTTTCTCCAGAGAGGAGGCACACGCTCTATTTTGTGTTCTAGTGACAGCCACAGTTAGAGGCAGCAGGGGAGGCCAGGAGGAGCAGCCGTGCCCCTGACTGGGCTCCATGCAGTCAACCAAACACAGAGCCAAAGGATCTGAAAAACCTTCTAACTGTGCTGGACATATACAGACTTCTTTTGGTCAACAGAATCCAAACAACAGATCTATTTACACTGCTTATGGGTATTTTTTTTCCACAACAAAATGGTATTTTATTTATACTTTTGCAGTTAGTAACATGTGACACAAGTTTCCTAGTGACTAACAGCTGACTTTAACCAGACAGGATGTTTATCTCAGGACTGAGGTTTGCTTTAGGCACTCAGGTCTAGTCCTGGCGACAGGGTATTATAAGTAATCTAGAGATAATCTATGGTTCGCAGTATGTTATACATAATATCCAGAGGGGTCCTATAATTAATCACCTTTGGATACCAAGGACTATTTATCTATAGGAACTGGAAGTAAAGGAATTATTAAACACTTTTTAATATCAATAAAAAAATCATGTATAAATAAAATCTAACATTTTTCTGATATTTATGTGGGAGACACTGTGTTAAGTAAAGTAGAAACTATTATCTCCTTTTCCCAGGCTAGGAAAGTGAAGTTAAGAAGGACAGATAAAGTGTTCTGCTCAGGATTTCATAGCTTGTCATAGCCTATGCTCACCTGCAACACAACTTCAGCTCTTTGGCACAAGCACTTCATGTTATATAAATAAAGGATAAAGAATAAATACTGGCACCTGTAGACTCTTTGTGTGTGTGTGTGTGTGTGTGTGTGTGCGCGCGCGCGCACGCGTGTATGCATGCTGGTATTAGGATGGAAGGATGAATGCACATAAACCTCACTCCCTTCACCCGCTATTACTGCTTTCTCATCTCTCAGTTTCTCTTGGATCTCTCAGGATAACCTAGAAACACACCAACACTTTGACAAAGAGGAAGCCTGTGAGTCAGGGCCAGAGGTGACCCAGGATAAAGGACCATGGGCCAGAGGAGTCTCGAGGGTTGGTGATTCAGTGGGAAAACGAGCAGTTCTGGAAGGTGCTCTTGAGTCACAGTGGCACCGGGGGTGGCAAAAGGTGACCTTGGTGACAACATACTGAATGCATAGCTCTTTGGTTGCTGACTGGCAGTGAACAGGAACATGAGAAAATGCCTTTACAGAGGATGACCAGGAGACTTTTGTTGCTCTGATACCGCTGTACCAGTGAGGACTTTAAAGTTGTATCTGACTGTGGACAAGATGGCTGTTTTGTAGGGCTGGGAAAAGTCAGATTCAGTAGTAGACAAGCTTAAATGGGTTTGGAGCAGACAGAATGTCTCATTCCTCAGTGACAAGAGAACGCCCGCTGAGTATGCTTGGCAACTGTTTTGATTGTGAAACATCAAGCTAGTGAGACCAAGTTCCAGGAAGAACTTGTGGGTCTGTGTGAGTGGAATGAAAGATGGCGTCCATTGGACTTCCACATGGAGAAGTGCATTCGAAGAAATAGCTTAATGTTCTTACAGCCAGAAACTCAAAACAGAGTGAAAAGGGATTCATTAGATACCACTCTCTGCAAGAGTATAGTTCAGTATTCCAGAAGAGCTGAATTAAATCCAGCAAAATGTAGGGAGTAAGGGAAGAACATTCAAAAAGAAAAAAAAAAATTAGTTTTGTACCATCCACAGTTCTGGATACTGAGTTTCAGTGATGCAGAACTGAATTTAAAACTGAGCAGCTAACATTATTAAAGAAATAGCATACCTGGGTTCATAATATTGAGAGCTTATCTAAACTAAAGCTCTGCTTCTTGACAATTTCTTTCTGGTAGGATTTTAAGCAAGCCCCTGACTATCTGTGCACCCTAGAATCTTCTGTGTTTTAAACTAATAATATTAATGCACGTATTTGCTTGACAGAGTTGCTTTGAAAACCAAAGAAGATAATATATGGTAAAGACTTGTGCAAAAACATGTTAACTGTTACTACACCTATTATGAAGCTGAGCTACTACAGAAGTAGTGCAAACACAGACGGTCCTTGCTTATGGGAGCTTATAGTCAGGGAGGCGGGGTGGTGAGTGGAACGTAGGACAAGAAGGCAAGAGATGATGTCAACAGCCTGGTAAAGGCCAAGGCTGGGTGAGTGAAGCAGAAAACACACAAGAGCTTTTAGATATTCTGAATGTGGGAAATCTGAGGATTAACAAGGCATGTGAAATCATCAGTAATGTAAGTTGAAACAGATTTGTTTTACCAAACTCAGGGTGGTACAGTGGACTGAATGCATTCCCCACCCTAATGTATATGTTGAAATCCTAGCCCATCATACTAGGTGGCTAGGTCTTCGCAAAGTAATTAGATCATAAGAGTAGAACCCAGGGGCTGGGGAGATGGCTCAGTGGAATAAGCACTTCCCTGGCAAGTGCAAGGGCCTGAGTTCAATCCCCGGTTCCACCAAAAAAAAAATATAGTAGAACCTCATTATTGGGGTTGGTGCCCTTGTGAGAGGGACCTTGGAAAGCCTTGGCATCCCTTTCTGCCATTTGCAGGTGCAGCAAGCAGTCTTCCTTCTGCTGACCAAGAATGGGACCTCACCGGTAACCGAATTTACAGATGTGTCAATCTTTGGCTCTTCAGCCTCTAGAACTGTGAGGGATAAACGCTTGTTCTTCAAACCATCTGTCTACTGGAGTTTTGTTATGGTTACTCGTACAGGGTAAGATAGTGGATATATTAAACAGTGAGCATCCTTGAGGCCTGGGCTAAGGTTAGGACAAATTAAAAGGTACTGTTTAAGTCGGTAGAGTGAGAGCAGGATGCTTTCTCCTGAGGTTCCACGCTAGGTGGTGCTGAGCACAGGCATTCATGTACTTGTTCGGTGAAAATGTGTTGAACACCTCATTATGTTGGGGGAGAGTTCAGGTTTGTATCTGTTGATGTAGGTGAGTCAAAAATTCTCGATATTACAGAGTTTACATTTTTTTTTTTTTTTTTTTGGTGGAAGGAAAGAGACACGAGAAACTTATTAATCATAATAAAGTGGGTAAGGCCATTAAAATAGAGCAGGTAAGGCAAACTCAACATGTGCAAGTAAAGGAACTAAATCTTTATAATATGGTAAAGTAGGAGTGTTTCAGAGAGGGTAGGGCTGTCTCTGTGGCTGCCTTCCTTCTGTTTCTGTCTAATTTTAGTTTCTTAACAGAACTTCCGCCTATGCAGATAGACCCACCCTGGCCTGTTGCAGGCTGTGCCTGGCCCTAGGTGGCCCATGGAGCAGGCCGTCTCTTTCTACACAGTTCTGTGGGTCATTTTAGCACTCACAGAAGCTGCTCTTCTGGCTGACGAACATGAAGGCCTTCTCCACCATGTCTCACATGTGACTCCCTTTCCTTTACAGTAAGAACCTTTCTATCCGTGTCTTCCCAAGAACCCAGTATGAGTGTGGTAAGAAGCAGTTCCAGCCATCCTGGTATAGCTTGCTGAGGTATCGGTGGCTGCCACTCTAAACAGGACTGAGGCCTGCCTGGGCATCCCAACCGATTCCACAAGGAGGGACTTGCGTGTGCTGATGATTTAACATCCCCAATCCCAATTTTCCCACTTTAGTCATATGGTTACTTGTAACACAATAACAAATAGCATGTTGTGACTGCAGCTTACTATCCCAGGGGTGCTGCAGGTTAACAAAGAAAGTTTAGGGAATGTTCTGAAAACTTCATAGGTTACAGATGGGATAGGTTTCATTGTGAGTCACTGAGATGTTTAGGAATTTGAGCCCCTACCTTTGTGGCTGGAAAGAACCAGCACTGCTTCCTCCCCCACATTCCTGGTTGCCCCTGGGCAGAGGATTAGCTGCATTGTGGATGCTGCCCTTCTTTTAAGGAATGTAGGCAAAATTCCTATACTGGTATTGAACCCAGGGCCCTGCCCTCTCTAGGCAAGTGCTCTGCCACTGAGCTCCAGCCCAGCCCAGAAGACAGGTGGGAAACAAAGAGACAGTATGTATGCTGAGATGGTTTCAGTTAGACAAGACAATCATTTCTAGGGAAACTGATGCAATGGTTATTGAGTCTTGGGTATGGTTAAGGATAACTGAAGACATGGTCATGGGTGAAATAACCCAAGAGCTGGCCTGGAGAATCTGGGCCTCCAGGTGACTAAGGATGCAGCATAAAGGATGGGGTCCATAGTGACAGTGCACACTCATCAGTTTCTCATGAATTCTTATCCTCTAGTAGTGTCACGACCTTCTCAGTTTGTGTAAGTACACACTGCGACATTCAGACAATGAATTCATGCAAGACTGGTTACAAGAGAGGAGGTGTAGACCAATTATTTTCCTTGGGTGATCTTAAGTACAGATGGCTTCAGACACAGAAAAATAAAAGGCCCAAATTCTTTAGCCTTCAATTGAAGAAAACAAAAACTAACTCAAAAAGTTTAGTAAAATTTAATGAGGAAATTTAAAAAGTAGATTGGTACAAGTACTTATGTTAATGTAAAGCATTAGGCTATTTTCCTTTGCGAGCAATAAGAAGAATACTTTTGTTATGAATCATAAAATATACAGAACATTAGTTAGGAAAGATAAAGATTAAACTTAAATGCGAGTCACTGCTGATTCTTTGTTTTATTATGAAATTGAAGTTCTTAACTAGGTTGTTTACAAGAACATCTACTACGATAATATACTTCTTGAAAAAGCTTACTAGTGTCTCTGTGAAGACCAAACTTCAGTTTCTGCAAACACTGTGGGAAACTGCATTATTCAGAATGTTTGCTATAAACAACTGTTTACCTGAAGGATACCCAAAGCCTCACTAGCTCCCTGTCTAAGAACCTCTGCCTATTATCACTCTACTGTATTCCTTCTTAACACAGTTGCTATAAGAATGTTCCTAGTATCACACATATTTCCTCTAGTGTAAATATTTCTCTATCGTATGCAGCAAGGGCTTCTTTTATAAGAATTACCACAGCTGTCTGTGTGGTAATATTTTGGCTGTTGCTAAGGTTTTCTTTTACTTTCCTTTGACTTCTAAGGGGAGACAAAGACCGTTTATATATTCCTGGAGTGTACGGTTGTACTTACCCTTTTTTGCACTTTAGAAATATCCACAAGGAAACAACTATGGCTGAGATAAGGAAGATCACACCACAGGAAATGCCTAGTCCAAAAAACACAATACAAAAACACCCAAAACAAAGTAATTAAATGCATGAAACATATCCAGGGATTTTGAAGTCTATCTTAATATCTAGCCCCACTAAAGACTGCCACTGATCTCCCCACCACGGGGTGCTTCACTGCTGAGCTCTATCCTCAGCTCTTTCTAATTTTGAGATCTTACTAAGTTGTCCAGGTTGGCTTTGAATTTGCATTTCTCCTGCTTCAGCCTCCTGAGTAGCTGAGATTTTAGGCATATGCCACCATGCCCAACTTGCCAATTTTTTTTTCCCCAAGATATAACTCTAGCTGGGGATATAACTAAGCAGCACAGCACCTGCCTGGCAAGCATGAGGTCATGAGTTCAAGTCCTGGTACCAAAAAAGATAAAACTCTAAATTCTGCTTTCCTCAGGTACATATAGCATTATTGTTAACTACAGCAGGTTATAGTCAGGGATTGGGTAGAGCAGTTTTGTAACCCTTAGCCCCTGTAACAGGTAGCAGGGAAACAGCAATGAAACTGCTGGGTGATGGGCCACGGCCCTGCCAGGTCTTTTCTATATGATGTAAGGTGTAGGCTGTATTCTACGTGGCACTTTTCCTGAATGCAAGCTCTTGTATTTCAAAGCAATTTCCTTGTATAAATGGACCACAGAAGTGAACTCAGCAAACTGGTTTTGTGGCTTTCAGTTTGTATAACTAAGGACAAGATTACCACCAGGAAGGACATTCCCTGGGTAGTAAGCAATAGGAAGTTGCCCTTTACAGCCACATTACAATAAAGAGTTTTTGACACTGAAGGATGATTTGTTCAACAATGAAAAAAGAGCTTCGATGAAGGGTACTTTCTATGTGTATGAGGATAACAGTTTAACCATGCCCTGAGCTAAACATCTTTTAGTTTTTCTTTTAATGCAATTTTTAAGACATTTCAATCTCCCTTTTAACATTTCACTCACTGGAAGGAAATACTTACTGTTGAAGACGCCAGTATTTCTCAGCAAACCCTTCACAAAACTTACCAAGTTTAGAAATATTACGTGAGCCTAAAAGAAAGACAAAAACCACAGAAACGTCAGTCTGTCATGCTACCTAATGGAACAAGAGTTGCAGCCAATAAAATACACCCTGATTTTTCTTTAGTATTCAATAAAATACCTTTTATCTCAAATACTAAAAACCCTTTATTTTGTTTTTATTTCATTTTGGGTACAAGGTGAAGACTGTTTGGCTTAAATTAATCCTCTTATTATAAAGGTATATAATTTGAGCAGCAAATTTGTAGAATGGAACAAAAGAAAAAAATAGCACTCATAACCCTCATACTCAAAAACATTGGGGTACGTTCCTCTGTTAGTTAGCTTTCTTGTCAATAAGTCTCAATACCTAACACAATATAAAAGGGAAAGAGCTTATTGTGGCTCTTGGTTCTGCAGATTCAGTCCTCGGTCAGGCGCTCCCAGTGGGGGGGGTGGGGACACCAAGGCAGAGGGGCGCAGTGAGCAGAGCTGTGTAGTTTGCAGCAGCTGGGAGCAGAGCAGGAAGCAGGACCAAGGGGAAGGGTCGCGTCTAGCACGACCTGTTCAAATGGGCGGATCACAGTGTATTTGATGACTTCTATGGCATATTCCTTTCTACACTTTTCATGAAACAATACAAGGAATAAACTACTTGTATATTTTATATTATTTCACTAGATTAGATTCTTAGAGAGGGTAAATGGTATGCGTGTTTATATTATTTTCTTTATACATTGCCTAATTCTTTCTCATAAGAGTTTTTGCCAAGGTACAAGGATCCTCTCAATGTGCATAGCTGCTGGTTTCACTTATCTTGCTCTTTATTGGGAGTTCACCTAAAACTTTTGTTGTTAATAATAGGCAAGAAGTCACCTTATTCTTTTCCTTTGCGTTTCTTCAGTTCTGAGGTTAAACTGTTAGCATGTATTTATGTGCCAAAGTACAAAGATCTCCACACCCTTTCTCCGAGCCTTGCTTCTGCACGTCCTTCCTCTTACAGGACTGTGCTGTGCTGAGCCATGTAGAGCTGGAAGCTCCATGTGCCTTAGATGTGGCCTGGGCACCTTTGGAACTGAAGACCCAGCAAGTGAGGGGAGCAGAAGGGGCCAGGGAAGCCAACTTGTTCTGGATCTTTCGAGAGAAAGTTTGGGTGGAAAAGAGAAGCAAGGCTCTAGGAAGGCAGTTGCTCTAATATCTGTGACCCTGGGATAGAAAGGGTCAAGTGGATATTAGAACATTTTTACAAGTATCATTTCATGTAATCTTTAACTTCTCTGAGAGATTCCAGTGGAGAAACCTTAGTTATCACATCTTTTCTGGAGTTAAACTTATCTTTTTTTAAAAATCATCCCACTGACTTTGTTTATTTTTTTATTTTTATTTTTTATTTAGGACAGGCTCTACTGGGTCTACAGGGTCTCACTGCGTAGATCAGACTCATAGTGATCCTCCTGTTTATAGCCTCCCAAGTGCTGGGATTACAGGAGTGTGCCACCACGCCCAATCTTAGAGTTAAACTGATCTGTCTTGCATGGAACACTGTTTACATTGGTCTTGAGAAAATAGTTAACTTGTGTTATAGGTGCTCATAGTGGCAATCAGGAGGAACTCAGATCACCCCTTATTCTGGGGTAGACATGGTTGAGTCAGGCTGAAGACTCAGACTCAGGCACACACTTGGTGTGCTCTGGGTCATAGTACAGAGGGACAGCAAGGTGCACGGGAGGAGCTACGGGAGGTCTGAGCTCCAGCCACTGGGCACCTGAAATGGGCACGTGGTAGAAATTCCTTCTCTGATGCCTGTACTTAGAGACTGCCATTCTTATGAGGATTGCTGTAGAACTCCCTGTGGGCTGTCATTCCAAGCCTGGGCCATTCATGATTTACTTCCTGGTATGCTTTTTAGAAAGGCCTAGGACTGGCATCTTTTGCAATTTTTTTTTCCCTAATATTTTTATTGAGAAACAAATAGCAATGGGACAGTTTCACAACCAATTACTAATACATTTTCAATATTAATACATTGTAGATTGTCTTTTCAGCAGTCTTTCCTAAGACACTGGTTTGTTTTCTGTTTTCTGTGCCCTCATGTTTTCACGCCTTTTCTCACAAAAACAAAAACAAACAAACAAAAAAAACCCAGCAAGATTTCAAAGTTTAACGACAGGCCAGATGAAGAGACAAAGACTGGTGAGCAGATGTGCGGCTTGGTGTGCTCTGGGTCATAGTACAGAGGGACAGCAAGGTGCACGGGAAGAGCTAAGGGAGGTCTGAGCTCCAGCAGCCTGCCATTTAACGGCCATCTGGGCCATTCTTAGTTTTGAATATATCTTGCCATCTACCTGGTGAACTTATTGGCTTCTTCAGTGACTTTGGCCTAACAGCTGTCTTTTATTGTGACTAATGCTGGCAGGTTCTCCCTCACTGAAGTAGCTATTTAGTATGTTGGCCTATTTATTTATTGTTAAAGTACACAGTCTCTACCACTAGGTTAAAGACTATTTGGTCCCAGGATACCCTATTTTGAAATTAAATCCTCTGTATCTGAGGGTATCTGGAAAATGGGCTAATAAAAATATTACCTTCTTTGTAAGTGTGTGCATTAAATTAGAATCTATCTTTCTGTCTAGCAATCACTACCTCATCTTTTAAGTATACTAAGAGCTCAGTACCAATTAACTTATTACTATTACTACAAATATCAATACTGTTGCTTATCTTATTAATCTTTCATTATATTTTCCAAATATTTCCCATCTATCTAATGCCTTCCTTCAGAGTAGCTAAGTTCTAAGTCAGATTGGTCAACAGGTCAAAATTTAACATTTTTTATGATCTTTCCAATCATATTTTGGCTCAAAAAGTTGGCAATACTTTTTTTTCTTTTTGGAAGTGCTAAAGATCAAAGCCAGAGTTTTGAGCGCGCTAAGCTCAGAGGCTACACATTCTTGCACTGAGCTACATGCCTAGCCCTGATTGTTTGATAAGTATGCTTGTAAAAGTTTTTATTTCTTTACAGCTTCACTTTAAAAATATTTTGACTCTTATTTGCTATGTATTTAAGACTTACAAAGCTTTAATTTTTTAAAATTTTAATTTAATTAATTATTTATTTGTATTTTAGGGAAGGGCCTACAGGGTGTTCAGGGTCTCACTACTAGATCAGACTCATAGTGATCCTCTTGTTTACAGCCCCCCAAGAGCTAGGATTATAGGTGTGTACCACCATTCCCAGTTTCAATTGCCATCTCAGTGCACCCTGGGGGCGGGGCTGGCATGGCAGGCCCAGGGATCAAAACTTTGGCCCCTATGCCTGCTTGTAGGCACTTTAATCTGCTGAGCTATTTGGCCAGTCCTTTTACATTTTTCCAAAGCTTATTATATTATTTAATATCTTTCTCTTTATAATGTCTCTATAATTATAACTGTTAAACAATTTCATTTTATTTATAATAATTTTTTATTTTACTTATATCAATGTTCCCTACTTTTATGTTTATTTTGGTGCTGGTGCAAATTGAGTTAGGTGTTATGATGACATGGTAGGTTCTCCAATGAACTGAGTTACCCGTCAGTCCTGCAAGATTCTCAGAGCCAGACAATCAGTTATCCAATCAACTTTTTGTCAGAGAAGATTATAATTTGCTATTCAGAGGATAGTGAATTTATAATTTAGAAACGTTTAAGTAGTCAACACATTTAAGGCATTAACAATAAAAAATAGATCATGAACAACATTCACATTTACCACGTATGAGAACCTTAAGAGCTGGGGAGAGAGGAAGTCCGCACTAACTTGGATTAAGAAATGCTATTTATCAATAATTTTGCTCCTGTGCCCCTTGACCTGTACAAATTAACATCTTTTTAAATGCAGCTTCCTCAAGTTGTCAGCAGAGAGTGCCTCTCCCACCGAGCTCTGTGGAAAAGGATTTCTGAAACAGCTTGCTTGGTCCGGGCAGCACCAGTTATAACCTGCAGCCTGCAGCAAGGAGGAGCCAGCCTGCTGCCCCAGGGCCGCTCTCCCTGACCCATGCTGGACCATCTCCTGGAAGCCTGCACTACCCTCCTGCTGATGTGCCTGGCTTTTAAGGCTTACCGTTATAAATAAATCCTTATGGGATGGACAGGCGTAAGGCGGGTGGGGCCTCTAGAGAGCCTGATGGGTATAAAGTATGAGGATAAAAAGGGCTTTTTGAGATGAGGCAGGGACGTATATCACAAGCCTTGATTCTTAGCAGAGGGGAAAAGAGATCCTTGTTGCCCCCCTTGGTTCTCATGGGACCTCTTGGCCTAGATCTAGGAACCAAAGTAACCTGCCAATACCTAGTAATCCATTTTTGGAACACAATGAAATGTATTCTCTGCAAATTCTTGTTCCTTGAATTGTTCAAGGTAACATATATGAATTTCATGTGAAAATTAAAAAAATTTTCAACCCTCAACGTAAGTAGGTTAGTACAAGGGTGATGAGCATGAAAATGTAAATTCTATTAAAGTTTCATGTCAAAGCCCTTCACAAGAAAGCAAATCCAAAAAAACAAACAAACAAAAAAAATCCATACGCAAGATGCTTTTGTCCTTTCTATACAAAGAACAATAAACTTGTGAAGAGATGGGAAGACAACTGGATCTCTGGACCTGGGTCAGTTCTATGGCTATCAACAAGAGATACATAGTTGGTGACCGTAAAAGGTAATGCAACATAAGATTATGCCAATGAATTTATCTATTTAGGATTTTACAGCTCCAATTTTCAGTCTGTGCTGATGAAGGCTATTTTCCTGCCTCGGTATATGTAAGGCCCCCTTCCAACCTTCCTAAATTCTGCTTTTTTTTTTTTTAGTAACAGGGATCAAACTCAGAGCTTGGCAAGTGCTTTACCAAGGAGCTATACCTCTGAATCTTAAAAAAAAAACAAAAACAAAAACAAAAACAAAAACAAAAAACAACTTATGATCAAATGGCCCTTTCTGTAGCAATAGTTTTTCCAGTGACTTCAGCTTGACATAATCGATGTAGCACTGAGGCGTATTTTGAGATAGTACCTCAAGTCCTCCCCTAGTATGTGTTAGAAACATCACAGCAGGCTTGGTGTCATATGGGTGAATGCGTGAACGTCACCATGGCTGAAAAGTGGCCACATTCGCCCATGTCCTGGTACTCACGAGATGTGCAGCTGGCCAGAGGAGGGGCCCACGTGCCATCGGCTTGGCACTGGCTGTGGGGAGAGCCATCCAGTGCGTACCCATCCTTACACTTCAAAGTTACATTATCTCCGTAGTGATACGCTGGTCTCATTTGGAACACCTCCAGGATTCCGTTCATAATCTCACTTGGAGGGCCACACTTTACCTCTGAAATTAGAAAAAAATCAGAACAAAATGGCTCTGTTGTTGTTAGTTGCTACTTGAAATCACCCATATAAGATATGTAAACCTAAACTTACTTAGCTTTCCACAAAGACCTGACATGTTTTCAGTCAAATAGTCTTGGCCCTTCTCCACTTTAAACACCTTATGCCTTAAAATTATCTGATTTCAAGTTCTTATCTATAGAAAGGGACCATTGAATATGTTTATTAGCAGCTTTGCAACTAGAAAGTTGTAGGAGGACCCCAAGTTAGGGTGACCATGGATCCACTGAAGTCACTCTTTATAGACAGCAATATGGGGTTCAGTCTCTCTAGGGATACAGCACAGATTGGTATGATTTGCTCTTGATTTAATGTACATTTCCATCTCGATTCTATATGAAGAAGTCATGATTCTGAATTTAAAATACCACTTTTAAGCAAAAGAACAAAACAAAGAAAGAAAAAAAACACTTAAAAACTAAGGACACACAATTATACTTAATTTACTTAGTCTTTTAACCCATCCTTTGATCTGTGTTTCTTTCCCAACCATCAACTGCCCCTTCGACTTTAAAGAAATCCTCCTTTTCCATTATAATAGTCTGAAAATAAAAAAGTCAAAGTATTTTTCTCTCTATTAGCACCAGTGAGGTGAGGTTGTGCTTCTTAGAGGTATTGTGGTCTTCCATCAGGTTATTATAGCAGATTTGTTAAAAATTGACTTCTGATCCCTTCTCTAAGAAGAATCAGAGTCTCCGGGAAGCAGCTGGAGATTCTTCCAAACAAAGTCGCTGCTGGTGTTGCTGGCGCTTGGGATGGAAGCGCACTGCTGCGAGCTTAGCATCCTTGAAGAGGGCCCCAAGACAACATGGCATATTTTGTAAATGAAAAGATAGCAACTGCCAAGAAAATACATTACCTAGCCTTCTATTTTCTGAAAAAGAACCTTCTCAGAGCTTCAACTTGTATCTCGCAAATATTTTCTGAATTCTCACTTTCTTTTTAGGCAGCTGAAGTGAGGAGGGAGGAGCTTCCAGGGGTGCGAAGAGCTATCAGGGCTCTGCACTGGGCGCAGCCTGCTCTTGCCAATAAGCGCAACCACCGCGCTGCGCTTGGCCTCATTTCCCTGTCAAGATGTGGGCTCAGGAGCATTGAGGTGGACTTCCGAGTCTCCGAGGACGGGGGAGCCCACTGCGGGGCTGGCTAGTCTCTAACATTTGAAGCACGTTCAGACAAGTCTAGGGCCCCTCCCATGCCACCTGTGCCCGTAGCCTCCCCCATTTCTATAAGGACAGGTTAGACAATAGAGGGAGCAAAATCACTCATAGTGTTGTGAAACCCAAGGAGCCACGTTTAAGGAGAGACACTATTCAGTACGGCGTTTAAAAGCAGCGTCTGAGCTGAGGCCCGCTCTTGGACAGCCACTCACAAGCTGAGTACCCTGAGCTAGTTGCTGGAGCTCTCCGCCCTTACTTCCTCTTCTGTAGGACTGTGTGAACAGCAACCCTCCGTCACCAGATGCTTTTGGATGCTAAAGCTAATCATTTTCATGAAGACCTCAGAACCCTGCCTAGTCATATTATTTTTAAGGCACTGTATGTAACACTATTTGAGAACACCATTAAGAAGGATTTAAACATCACGTGCTTGTGCCAAAATGATCAGGCCAGGTCCAGGTTCTTTGTACAGAAAATGAGGGCAGAGCCTGCCAACAGGTGGGCTTTGTAAACAGACAGAAATAAAGGAAACAATGCGTGGAGAGCTGCTCCATGGAGCAGATAAAATAAGCACTTCGGCTTCGGCCTTTGTGGCCTACGAAGAGGCATCGCACTAAGTGATTCCAGCATTGTTTGTTCTCCATCTCTTTTGCCTATCTGCAGAGGACAAGACACTGTCTTGCTTCAGACACTTTAATTACTCCCATAACAAAATACGCTGCCAGTCACTTATGTCCCTTTTAAGGGTGCTTAGGAGGACCACCTGTAGCCCTCTGAGATTCTGCAGGGCTGTTAGGTGAAAGCCAGTAAAGCGCAGAACAGTGCTGTGGGCTGCCCACTGCATCATGGGAGATCCTGTCCACTAGCTGCTCTGCCTGGGGAGAGACCAGGCTCTTTCCTGGCTTTGCCCTTCTGTTTCTGTTGATGCTCATCTCACTCTCTTTCAGACCTTATTAAACCAACCCATTTCAGAGATCTCTCAGCTCAATTAGCCTTGTGCACCCATTTTCCATAATAACTCAGGACAAGAAATGCCAAAAAGCAGATACTTGTGCAAAAATGATCAAGTCGGCTCCAGGTCCTCTGGTCTGTACAGAATACAAAGGCAGATCCTTCCACCAGGAAGCCAGGGTCGCAAGTGTAGGAGAATTTCATCCCAGGAAGGTAAGAAGACACATGCTCTCCGGTGTGACGCCCATTCTGGATCTTTGGTGGAGATGGGCATGCTAAGAACACGTTCCCACACAAACACAAAAGAAGACTTCCAGTTAAACACACACGTGTGAACATGTCAACACTCATCGTTGGCCACTAAAGGCGCATGATGACTTGAGACAGGAGAGTCACAACCCATTAAATGTAGGCTGGTGAGCAGAAGACCGCAGATCTAACACAATCCTCCATATTCTTGAGCTGCATAGATAGAAGCCCCACAGGTACCTGAGCTACCCATTCAAAGCTGTTCTGTCTTGCCTGGAGGTCAGGGCACTTGTGTGTGCCATTGCACCACAAATGAGCCTGTGATGCTTGGGCACTGTCATTTAAAGCCACACAAACATATGCAATATAGGCACTGAAGAGGTGGAGAGCACACCTCTACCCTACGCTTCTTCAGGGCTCCTGAACTCCCTGTATCATAGTGAACCAAACAGCCATGCAGTCAGTGGCTCCCACAAAACATCGAGGAAAAACAACAAGTGTCCATGCCTAGACCTGAGTTTCTTTAATGATCTCAGTAGTACTATTAGCTCTGAAGTAAATTGCGACATTGATGTTTATTTTTTACTCACTATACCCATTACATTAGCATAAAGACAACTCGTGGTAAAGATGTCACAAAAGAGTTACTTTCTTTGACACTTGCTTTCAATTATTTGAAAATATTCTCTATGAAATCTGAATTCTATATCATCCTACACTCTCACCCCATAGGAAGAGCCACCAGAAAATTGCTAAATTGACCTACATCAACTTTGGCTGTTTTTAATTTTTTATTTGTCTAATAAGGGCTAGGCTGGCCCTTGAACTTTTAGGCACAAGAGATCTCCATGTCTTAGCCTCCTGAGTAGCTGGTTCTACACATAGGTACTACCAAGCCCACTTGGAATGCCACCAATTGGGGGCCAGTGTGGTACATCTAGACCTCATCTGTCATTCACCTGGGAGGTAGCTCTGTCTCCACCATTTATGACAAAGCCATGTTTATAAGTAAAAATGGCTGCCACCATGAGAATGTGGAGATTCTTGCCTGGATGATTAGCCCACTAGGAAGTATGAAGTCAGTACTGACCAGAAAGAACAGGAAGTTCACAGTGAGGGGCAGGGCCACTCCACACCCCATTGCCTTTGCTGTCACTTATGCAGCGGATGGTGCTCTCCCCAACAAGGCTGAAGGTCATCCCTCTGTCTGGGTGGGTGTTGCATGTGTAAGATATTTCTTTTCCATAAGGAATAGCTCCCAGAAAAGTGTCTGTGTACCTCCCATTGATGATAGTTGGAGGGTTGGGACAAAAGATTTCTAGAAAGAAGATAAGAAATTTAACTTTTATTGGAGTCTTAATCAAGATAACAAACATGAAGATGGTGCCCTGGCCCCGTGTTATTGCTAAGCTCTCAATGAATTTGGAGGGTTTCTTTCTTTTCTTTTCTTTTTTTTTTTAACCACCATTTGTTTGGCTGCTTGTCCTGGGTTGACAATGTGTACATGGCATATGCATTTTGGTCTGTGGAAACCTTAAGTTAGGGGAAATATTTGAAGCACGTACCAGCATCTCTAGTAAAGGTTTCTTGGTGACTCGAGGCCCTTATCATTAGTATCAGTAGCAAATATGCAGTGGTATCACCAGTCTGCACTGGTAATTACAGTTATCTATGTCTAGATTCTACAGTTCTAGAGACCTTTCTTCCCCTGTCACTCCAACTACCAGCGTCATTTCTTCCTGCTCTTAGTGTTCATGTTTGGAAGAAAGAGGTCCCTCCATGAAACTACTTGATATTTCCAATGTAATGTGAATTTGGGAACAGAGTTTATCAGAATTGTGCATATAAGCTCATAGGAGCTTTAATATAATATTATATTATATATATATATTATATACACTTAATTTCTTAAGTGTAAAATTTACTTATCTGTGATTATCCTAAGCATGGTTATATATCTATTTTCAGTAGTATGTGTCTCCAGAAGATTGCATTTGTTGGATACCTGAGTTTCCAGTGTATTGAATATTTTTATAAAGTTTTCCCTAATATTTACCATATGCTATTCAGAAAGATGACTAGCAAGGTATTTCTATAAAGTCAAGATTGAAATGAACATTTTTCTAATCATTAGAAAAAAGGAATTTAAAAAAGTAAATCTTGCTGTGAGAAATCAGTAATATCTTGCTGAACAAAAATCACTGGGTAACAGTGACTTCAGGAGGCAAAGCCTGGGAGGAAGGAAGAGGCACTACCCAGATGATGCAGCCCCCTACTCACGTTCACACTCAGGAGTGCTGCTATTCCAGAAGCTTCTCATGTTGTCCAAGACACAGTGACTAGTAGAGCTGCCTCTTAATCGGAACCTAAAAAAAGGAGCAAGTGAGTGAGCCTTCCCCATCCACCCTTTGTGCATTGCTAGGCTCTCAGTTTCCTCAGTGTAGTCCAGAAGAACACTGAGGCTGTAGGCTTTAGGCCCAGCTAAAAGCTTCAGTTCATGAGGCATTCGAGGCCAGCAACTGACAGAGACTCAGAGTCCAAGTGACCCTACAGCATCACGGTGTGAGTAGGGCTGGTACCCTTCAGCATCCTGCATGCTTCAAGGTCCACCAGCACCTGGTGAAGGCACTGAACTCCAGACCAGACTTCCTGTGAGCTTCTGAACCACTGTGCCCGAAAGCCCCTTGACACCCCACTGGCTTTCTTTGGTGGGCCAGGAGGAACACTGGAGAGATCAGGCATTGTTCTCCTTGCTACACAATGGTGACGGGTGGGGTAGAGGCTCACAGAAGGAAACTGGAGCAAATATTCTAGGGAGAGGAGAAGGGTGAGGACAGCAGTCTGCTGCTCTGAAATACCCAGCTTATCATCAGATCTTGTTGTTCTTCTGAAATGGGCTGAAATCTGGATTCACTGTGTAACCAGAAATAAGGATTGGGTAGCAGATTTTGAGCCAATAATTTAATAAGAAATAATTTAAAAATAATTGCTTCATTGCCCTCTCTCATTGCTTCCCACAGACCAGTAGTGCCCAGTGCCTAGAGTAGTGGACTCACATGAACCATAACCTTGGTCCTTTGTGATCCTAGGGTGCAAGACTGCCTGGCATAAAAATATGTGATTGGATTAAAAACACTGAACCACATACTGTTACAGATTTCACTGTTGATTGGTCCTAAGTACTCGAAACAACCCTTATCTGGCTTATTAATGGGGCAAACTATTTTCTTTTCATTTATGTATTTGGTACAGGGTCTCACTACGCAACTCAGACTCATAGTGATCCTCCTGTTCTTTAGCTTCCCTAGCACTGGGATTACAGGCGTGCGCTACCATGCCTGGACTGGTTCACCAGCTCAGCGTGCCCCGGGGGCAGGGCTGGTGTGGCAAGTGGGACCAGGGTTTAATCCTGGCAAACTATTTTTGATGAAGTCATCAATTTCTCTAGTATCCTTCTGTAAAATTGTTTTTCAATCTCCAAGTAACTAATATCCATGAACTTCAAGTTCCAACCTCAAGTTGAGTATCAGCCACTGTATCTCTGTTTGCATTTGTCACTGAGTTACATGAATCCTTATCTCTTTGTCTCCTGAGAGTGTGCCACTGGGTTCTTACCCTTCTTTTTAAAATGTATATTTATGTATTTATTATAGGGTATTTATTTATTACAGGGTCTTGCTATACAGCTCGGACTTGTAGTGATCCTCCTGTGTCAGCCTTCCCAGCACTGGGATTACAGGCGTGTGCCACCATGCCCGGTTTCAGGGTGGCACAGTGTGCCCGAGCCTAGTACCAGGGATTGAACTCAGGTCCTTGTGCTGCTAATCAGGCAGGCTATTTCCCCGGCCCTTTACCCTTCTTTCCAAACTTGTCCCAGCAGTTTGCTTCCCTGAGAACTTCTTTCCATTGGGTCAGCCTTCTTTCTGGATGAGTCCCTGAATTCAAGAGAGCCCCTCGCTAGCACCAAGGCTCTGGTCTCTGTTCTGGGACCTACTCACCCTTCATTACAAGTAAAGGACACTTTCGCTCCAGGCTGGAGATCAGCTGGAGATAGCACATGGCCATTAGGGAGCTGGTCTGGGAAGACGTCACATGCTTTCACTAGGAGATAAAACAAAACAGGTGTGAGGTTGCCATGTGAAGGGTAAAGAGAGTGCTCTGAAAACCAGCCCAGCGTTCAGGCACTTTCACACAAGGGGGCTGCGGGGCTCCAGTGCCCCTGAGATGTGCAGCACAGAGAAGCCATCCCCTCTGGATGTCACAGCAAGGCTCACAGCTATAGGACACTTCCTGCCCAGGTGGGGGGTCCTGGCTGCTTGGGGTATGCTGACCATGCTGGATGTTGGGAGGTGGCTGACACTCTGTGGGGAGAACAGGCCCGAATTACCTGTTATCTTAGGGGCTCTCATTAAGCCAGAACCTCACACAGAGTTAGACAATCATGTGTCTTGGGTGTACTCTGGACTGGCAATGTTCCCTGGATTGAGAATGTTTCTGAAAGGCTCTTGTGTGGAAGGTTTGTTCTCCAGCTGAGGGAACTGTCGGGAAGCAGTGGTGCCTTCAGAGACAGGGTCTAGTAGAGAGTTTTAGGTGACTTGGGCTTTGTCCTTGTAGGGATAGTGAGGTGCTGGTCTTCTGCTCTGTCACAAGCTCCTTTCCACCATAAGATGCTGCCTTGTCATGGGCCCAAAAGCAATGGGGCAACCAATCATGAGCTCAGACCTCCGTAACTGAGTCAGTAAGCCTTTGTGTAGCTTTCAGGTTGATTTATCTCAGGTGTTTGTTACAAGAATTGGAAAGCTGAGTAATACAAAGGGGTGTAGGCAGCAAAGGAGAAGTCACGTGATACTCCACCTGCCCTGTTTTTACTAAGGGAGAAGTTAAGAATAGGGCAAAAATAGAGCCAGAGGCCCACAGCTGATAACAGAGGCAGAGAACTGGAACCCAGATCTCCCGGCCCTCGTCTCAGTTTACGCATAGGTGAATTGAGTCCAAATGAGAAGGCATATCAGACTCAGATTCCCCTTGATTTATTTTGGGTGGGAGTTTATGGCATTACACTTTAACTTCAACTTAATCCATGTCTAATTAAAGATGGAGAACTGGCATGGATTTTAGCAAGCTACTAGACACCCTTGACTTGAGATTCCCAGTGACAAAATGTAGGAGCTAGACCATGAGAGCCAGACCCTCAGGTCTTCTTTGCTAGTTCTGATGTTGCATCGACGGCCATGAGACAGCTTCTTTCTTTCACTGATAGAAGTAGGGCAAGAACGGGAGCACTCAGGCCTGGGGGCTTTACCTGCTTGCCTCTTAAATCTCGGGTCTGTCACTTCAGCACATGATTTGGGCAATTCGCTTAACCTCTGAGAGGCCAGGCTAACTTCATATCTGATGAATATAATGATCTCATATCTCAAAGTGTTGTGATAAAGTGAAAATGAGGGAGGATCTGTATGAAAGCACTCACCATGTGGCTGCCCAGAAGGTCCATAGCACTCTTTGCTACTGAAGAGATAATGCAGCTAGCATTTCCCGAGAGTTATCCAGTGAGACGGTCCCCAGCCACTCCCTTATCGGCTAGGAAAGCTCTTCTCCAAGTGAAGGTGCACACACACCAGTGCAGGCACACACATGCGAACACAACAATCTCCTGGTTCACCGACCCAACCTGCTTCCCACACATCTGCAACAGCGAACGCTGATCTCCCAGTCCTCCACCCACGCTGTCACCCGTGGGCCCCTCCTCAGTCACAGCGGGACTCACCCATGGAGCAGCTTGGCAAGTCTGGCACCCACTTGTTTAGGGCCTGGCACTGCACCCTGGAGGAGCCGCTCATGATGAAGCCAGGCTGACACGCAAACTCCACAATGTCATTTAAGGAAAATTCAGTTCTGTACTCAGATATCACTTCTGCATTTTCAATGCGTGGAAGTGTGCACATAGTAAGTGCGACGCACTGAGGGGCAGGGCCGCTCCAGATGCCCTGGCTGTTGGTGCTGGTGCAGGATATGGTCGGCTTGCCCACCAGGTCAAAGATCTTCATCCCACTTTCTCCAAGGTTGCAGCGATAGGTCACCACCGTTCCATATACAAAACTGTCTCTGTGGGTGCTCAAGAAATCCCCATGGGCAATGGTTGGGGGTGGATCACAAGTAATCTCTGCAAAACAGACAGCAAATTAATAAAATCCCCATTTCCTAAAGTTATTGTTAACTAAAATTTTAGTAATCAAACTTTAAAAACTACCATAGGTAGTCACAAAACTGCTCTTATCTGATGTTTGCCAATATCCACACACACTTTAGTGCAGCTGCAGATTAGGTAGCCAGAGTGTTATGGGATATACTCGTCTCAGTTGACGTTACTTCAATACATATATCTGTATCTTTATTGTATCACACGTTTGTCAGTTTAAATGTGAACTTAATTACATTTTCACCACTGTGATTCACTTCTCTCTCTGCTGAAAGTGTTTGGTGTGATTCTGTTGGTTTCTAGTAATGCAAAGTACACAGTGCAATGTCTTTAGCCAGCAAGTAAAAACAAAATGCTCTGGCAGAATTAATTAAAACAGCAAACCACACATGGATTTCATATAAGGGACACAGTATTATAGATTCAGATGTAATGAAAGCAGAGTACTATATCCTACTTATGTGTATCTGAAAGTGAACATATTAGAGATAAAGATATATTTTGTCCCTGTTAACTCAAGAAAAGGTGGACATTTTAAAACCCCACCAATGCAGAAGAAATGGCAAAATGTATTGTAAATGCTACTCCTGAAAAAATATCAAACAAAATGTAACTGCTAAGTAACAGCCTACTGCTAGGCATTTTAATTGTAGAATATACAAAATATTCATATTGTTGTAGCAGATATACCTTATTAGAAACATATTTACTTGTTTGACATAAAATAAGAAAATATTTAAGAGGATACATATTTATTAGAAAAAAGTTTATAAAACATAGATGAATAAAAATTGCCTTTAAGGCTACTATCTACAATGAACCGTGCTAATTGTTTAATGTGAAAGTTTTCATGCACATACTCACTAAAGCCTCTCATGAAACAGTTTTCTAAAATACCTGGGAGGGGCTGGGGAGATGGCTCAGTAGAATAAGTGCTTGCCTGGCAAGGACAAGGTCTTGAGTTCAATCCCCGGTACCATGAAAATAAATAAATAAATAAATAAATAAATAAATAAACAAACAAATAAATAAAATACTTATGGGCTGAGCAATATTCAGTATGAGGATATTCTACGCCGCTCCATCTGGCGGAGCTTTCTCTAGGGTCTAGCTCATTTTGGCATAATGGAGCCCTTTTTTCGTCTAATAAAACACATGCCTTTCTCAGCAGATTATTTCCAAAATATTATCTGGAAAATGCTCAATTTTCCAGAAAATTCTCAGTAGATTATTTTGACTGCTCCACTATTGCTTAATCCTGGAGAGCCATGTAGCAACATCTGTGTAGCAGCATCTTCACAAAAACTCAAGACAGTTCTGTAGTTTAGATCAAACTGTGGACCCTGGATTAAGGGATGCACACAGCTAGGGTTTCTCACAATAACTTTTTTTTAAACAGAGTAAAAATTAAATTAAAACAAAAAATTACAAGTGATACAGAATTTTACTTAACAAAGTAATATGGATTTCATAGTATTTGTTGTAATATGTAGTGCTGTCTTCTAACCAGTCATTCCTATTACCAGATATATGCATGTAAAATTGGAAGGGGAAAGAAAACAAAGAAAGAAATGTATAAGAACTCAAGAAGAGAAAAAGTACGAACGATTGAAAAAAGGAGGCAAAACAAATTGAGTATTGCTCTTCAGATCATATAAATCTTTCTCCTTTTACTAAAGATTTCCATGGACAGCTGGGTTTTTTGATGCTTAGCACCTTGTCTCTGCTCTTCCAGAGAAGGTGTTTCGACTCATCCTCCCAGCAATTAGGTTTGCAGCTGTTGCTGTCCTTGCAATACCACCAAACCCAGGGCTACAGCCTTTTATACCCCGTGTTAAACCACAGTGGGCTTTGCTCCCTCGTTCCTGTCTGCCCTGCAACTGTGGGGAGCTCACCTGCACACTGCTCTCAGGAAAGATGGTGCTGTTCAGACAAGGACTGAAGGAAGGGGAGCTGCACGCTCTCCACACCCCGCGTGATCTGCAGAGCTGGGGAGAGGAACGGGGGGCTGCTCTCACTACCTGTGTTTATTGCACTGGACGCAACGCCCCCAAATTGGGAAGTGTCCTGCTCACCAGAGTGGAACTTGAGCTACTCAAAAAGAAGTCAAGACTACACTACTGGTTCTCCAAAGCCACAGGTTTCTAATCCACAGATTCAATCAACTGAGGGTGAAAGTTCTGCACACACACAGAACTTTTTCCTATCTTCAGTCCCTCACAACTATAGCATGGCAACAATTTATATGGCATTTGCAATGTACTAGTTACAAATGAATGACAGGCGATTTAGAGTATATAGGAGGATATGGTGGGTTCTATGTAAATACTATGCCATTTTACAGAAGTGCCTTAAGCATCTGTGGCACTTGGTATCTGTAGACTATCCCGGAACCACCTGCTACAGATATTGAGTGATAACGCTAGATTAAAATCAATTATATGCAAGAAGAGGGACCGCCAGGTGGGTCTAGAAATTTGTGATACTGTGAGCAGTTTTAAGGATATTATTGAATTCTTCAGCTATTAGAAGGATACAATTTCTAAGAGGCATGAGATTTATTCTTTCTAAATTGGGTGGAAGGCAACTGTAGGGCCAGCTGGTGGAATAAATGGGCAAAGAGATTTCAACTTACGCTCACAGATCGGTGGCCCTGTGTCCCACCTGGTGGCTTTTCCTGAGATGATACATTTCGCAGATGACTTACCAACGAGTCGAAACCTAAAGGACAGATACGAAAAATATGATGCTGTGCACATCACCCCAGCCACCTCCTTAGCAGATGAAGACTGTCGGGGGGCGACGTCCAAGGGCAGGGTGCTCTGGTGGACCCAGCTTCTGCACCTCCTTCCTCCCCTCTCCCTATTGAAGTGGATATTCTTTTTCTCTAATTCCTCATAAACTCCATTCTTTTCCTTCCTTTCCTGGCTTCACTGTGGACTGTACCAGGCACAAAAGGAAAACAAGTTTCCTGTACATGTTTGATATATTTTTTCTTTAGTGTGTGTGTGTGTGTGTGTGTGTGTGTGATGCAGCAGGGTTCATGTATTTTCACAACATTTAGTATCTACCACATCCTTTGAGGCTTGCTTCTTGGAGGGACCACAGAAACTACTTAGAAATTTCTGTCTTTAGAAAGGGAGATTGTAGCAAATTTCCTGAAATCAGCATGTCTGGCCCCACTTTCGTCTGCCTCTTTCACTTGTTTCTCAGTGCCCAGTGAAGCAATGAATACCCCTCACCTACCTGGAACCAGAACATTTATGTCTGACACAGGAAAACAAATACGACCTTCGCTGTTCCCTCCCCTTGCCTCTTGCTGGAATGTGGATCACATGGGTTCAGCTCTTTGATTTCTTTTAATAAAGTGGAAGTTTACATCCTATTTCCCCATCATATGGGTACATATGACATAAATGTGACATCTGTTGCTATACCTATATGTCTCACACATCTTTAAACCTAATTTCTCAATTTTAGTTGTAAAGCATGTATAATTTATCTGCTCCAAATGATATAGCTGTAGACTTTTTCTGCTTTCTCCCATTTTCCAGCTATGCTGATAACTCTGTAACTCTACCAAGGGTTAGTAAATCATTATTATGCCATAAATGGTTCACTCTAAAAAATGTAGTTCTGCCACTGTATCTAGCTTCTTCTTTTTTTATTTTTTTGCAGACCTGGGGACTGAACTCAGGACCTTGCGCTTGCCAGGGAAGCATTTATTCCATTGAGCCATCTCCCCAGCCCTGTATCTAGCTTCTTAACTTTGTTATAAATAACTTATCCTGGCCTTTTTTGTGTGTGATTTCTTTTCCTACATCACCAGTATTTCTTTCTTTCCTTTTTATGTATTTAGTACAGGGTCTGCCGGGTCTCACTACATAGATAGGACTCACAATGGCCTTCCTTTTTTTAGCCTCCCAACTGCTGGGATTATAGGCTTGTGCCACCACATCCAGTCTCAACCGCTGTCTCAGTGTACCCTGGAGGTGGGGCCCGCACGGCAAGTGGCACTGGGGATGGAACTATGGCAGCACTTGCCTAAGCAGGCACTCCAATCTGCTGAGCTATGGCTGGCTCTTACCAATATCTCTTTTGATAGTCATCTTATCTTTTTAAAACTTTTTTATGGATTGCCTGGATTTACCTTTTTCCTGGGAAGTGATCTTCTGCAGAACAATTTGAGGCCTCAGTTCATGAGTTCCAGGTTCTCAAAGCTTGTAGAAGTGAATCCTAGCTCAGCTCCCTGGACATCTGCATTTCAGTGTTACAGGAGAGCCATGTGGTTTTGATGGAAGTGTGTTTCTTTTGTGAGTAGCATATTTTAAATTTTTGTTTGTCAATTATAAAATACTTTTCCCTATTTCTAATATACATAATTTTCCGTAGCTATGGATAGTACTGCCTTAATTTATCTTTCCCGAAGTTGTTATGTGCATTTTGCGTTTCATTAATGTATCATATATGCTTTCTCTTTTCTTTTTTCTTTATTCTTTTCCACTGAATTCTGGGAGAATTATATTACTATCATTCTCTACTATAATTTTTCTATAATATGTAATAGTAAATATCCTTGTCACATATAAGATATAATTAAAATACAATGACTATTTCACAATTTAAAAATGTATTATAGTAAAAGATACATGGCCATCAATCTATCTCAAGTCCTTCTCACTTCAAACACATTCACCCCATCATTCTTGTCACTTTCTGAAGCAGCTCAGTGTCTTTTTGCGGCTACCTCTGTGTCCTGAACTGATTCAAATGTTTTATCATTCTGTCCTTGTCATCCTCTATTTTGTTCACCAGATCCAGTCACTTCTGGTGCTTCCCCAAAGTCAAAAGGGCTGTAGAAGACAAACATTCTGAATCTCTACAGGCCATTAAGGCAGCAGCAACACCACAATTCATTCTCTCTCTCTCTCTCTCTCTCTCTCTCTCTCTCTCTCTCTCTCTCCCCCTTCTCTGTCCCCTTAGAAGACAGGGTCTTATGTTGCAGTTCAAGCTGACCTTAAACTCACTATGTAGCCCAGGCTGGCCTCAAATTTGCAACAATCCTCCTGCCTCAGCCTCCTGAGTGCTGGGATTACAATAGCGCATCACTATGCCTGGCTCTCACTTGTTTTATTTGTTTTTGAGCCAGGGTCTCACTATGTAGCCCAGGGTGTCACCAAGCTCAGGGTGATCCTTTGGTCTAAGCCTCCATAGAGCCAGGCTTATGTGTGCATGCCACCATGCCCGTATGCCACCATGCCCGTATGCCACCATGCCCGTATGCCACCATGCCCAGGCTTGGCTCTCACTTTGCTCTCTCTGGTCTCTGTTCTGGGTCCTACTCACCCTTCATTACAAGTAAAGAACACTTTCGCTCCAGGCTGGAGATCAAGTGGAGATAGCACACTACCATTAGGGAGCTGGTCTGGGAAGACGTCACACACTCTCACTAGGAGATAAAACAAAACAGGAGTGAGGTTGCCATGTGAAGGGTAAAGAGAGTGATCTGAAAACCAGCCCAGTGTCTGCGTACCTTCACAGGATGGGGCTGCGGGGCTCCAGTCTCCCTGAGCGGTGCAGCGCAGAGTGGCAGCACCGATGAGGTGGTAGCCAGGCTCACAGCTGTAGGACACTTCCTGCTGGGGGAAGAAGTCCTGGTTGCTTGGAGTGTACTGACCATGCAGGATGTCGGGGGGTGGCTGACACACTGGGAAGAAAGAAAGTATGAAAGTCACTTTTCCTCAATGGTGGAGTATCCAGCAAATTTGTCTGTTTGTTTGTTTAGTACCAGGGATTGAACTCAGGACCTTGTGCTTGCCAAGCAGGCACTTATGCCACTGGGCTATCTCCCTGCCCAGGAGGATCATAACTACAGTTTGTGTATAAAAAAATTAAGAGCTGGCCAAATAGCTCAGCAGATTTAAGCGCCTACAAGCAGGCACAGGGCTGGGGGTTTGATCCCAGGGCCTTCTGTGCTAGCCCTACCCCTGGGGCATGTTGAGATGGCAATTGAGACTGGGAGTGGTGGTGCACGCCTGTAATCCCAGCTCTTGGGAGGCTGTAAACAGGTGGATCACTATGAGTCTGATCTTGTAGTGAGACCCTAAACACCTTGTAGACTCTTCCCTAAAATACAATAAAATAAAAAACAAAAATTAAAAAGAATTAGTGTCTATCTTCTACATTTACTGGTGACCAAATGGACACATGCACTCACACACTCAGGGTAGGGGATATCTTGATAAAGGTGGCAAAACTAATCCCCCACTTGGCTGTGGCTGGGAGGTGTCATCTGTGGGTTGTTTTCCATCTAAAGCATGCACCTATGGTCACATGGCCGATGGTTACTTCTGGAATGCTTCCCATTCCTGCTCATCTGAACAAAACTGTTAGGATTGATGCACCTTCTTATTTTTATTGTATTTTGTTTTGTTTTTGATACCAGGGATCGAACTCAGGACTTTGCACTTGCCAGGCAGGCATTTATGCAGGATCGATGGATCTTTAGACCTTCTTACTTCCTGTCCAGACAGCCATTGCCAACTTGTAGCTCTACATTTTAGACAATAAGCAATGTCTGTGCCCATGTCTCAAGTGACAAATCCCCCACTCACTGTTATGCACCCATGCTGGGAACAGAACCTGCATGTGCCTCCTCTTCTCTCCCAGGGGTCCCGGATGTGAGGGGCGGGAGAACTCTGCCTCTCCTGTTCACACTGCACAGAGCTGGTGCTGCTGGCCCATTCTATCTGTTCTTGTAACAAAATGACAACCTCGGACAGACTCTCCTAAAGAGCGGCAGTCCTCCTGCCCAGAAGGCAGGGCACACTCAGCAGAGTGTCAGGGCAGAGCTCTTCTGCCTCCTTCCATGACTGGTTTGAACTTGGGGAAGCAAAATGCATGTGAGCCTGCAGAATTAAATTGAAAAGATCATTTCCACTTTGCTATGCGTGTTTCAGTGCACCTCTCTGGACCTGGGTTTTCTCTATGCTAACAGGGGCACTGAAATAGAATAAGTGAGCTCCTTAATGAGTGCACAGGCACTCCACTGTTACAGCGTCTGTGTTCTGGCTTCATCGTCCCAACGCTTACAAGTGCACTGCGATGCTTCATGGAAGGGCCATGCTGGTTCACTTCAGTGATGGCCTTGCACTGCATCCCAGCACCCTCCAGTCTCCTTGATTGTTCTGCTAGAAGCCTGAACACTACAGTGGCTTTGTCTGCTGAGGGCTGGCCTAGTTCTGCTCCTTGAAACATATGTGCAAAATTAAAAGGTGGAAAAAGGACAGAAGTCATTCTGATTCCAGAAGTGGCTCACATGACTCTGTTAATACGCTCTGATTCTACAAGTGTCTGTGACTCTGGTCCAGCTATAACATCTGTCTCCTGGGAGCGGACATGGACCCTGAAGCCTGAGTGTAGACACCTGAATTCCAAACCCAAGTTCACAGTAGTCCCTCAGCTGTTGGCAATGCTGCCTTCCTCCTTTTGCATGTCCTGCCTGCCCTGCCCTCCTTTATAACTGATTCCTGCATGAACCCCTCATTCTTGAAGAATCTGAGGTGGACACTGTCAAATCGAGGGTCTAGAGACAGGTAGAACTGGGTTGTGGTCTTTAGTTCATTTCATTTTAGAAATGATTGTCTCTCTCTCTCTTTTATGTATTTGGTATAGGGACTCACTATGCAGCTCAGACTCCTAGTGATCCTCTTATTTTCAGCCTCTGCAGCACTGGGACTACAGGTGTGTGCCACTATGCCTGGACTCTGTGGTCATCTCAGTGTGCCCGGGGGCAGGGCCAGCACAGCAAGTGGTGCAGGCACTTAGTCCACTTAGCTGTCTTGCCAGCCTGATCTAATCTCCAAAGACACACTGTTTTTGTAAACTGTGGAATGAACAGCAACTGCCTCTGCTTTGTTTTAAGGATTAAATGCACATATAACCTATGGTATAGGTCCTGGCCAGATGAATCACTCAAGGTGTGTTGCTGATTATTATACTCAAGGTGGAGGCTGCAGAGGCGATGCATGAGGAGAAATTCTAAATTCTCTGAAGTTCACATTCATGGTGAGAGTTAATTTGCTTCTCAATTTGAACACGCATACCTGTGCACACATGTACCCATCCCCCCGCCCACCCAAGAAAGTGGACTCACTCGGCACATTCACCACACACACACCCCTTCAGAATAAACACTGATCTGGGGGCTTGCGGATTAGCTCAGCTGTCTAAAGCGCCTGCTTGGGCCAACTCGGTCAGGTGCTAGGGGACTATGGTTCAATCCCCAACATCAGACCCGCCCTTAAGGCAGCCTGAGCCAGCCAAAAAGAAAAAGAAAAACACCAAAACAAACAAAAAAAACACCAAAATAACAAAAATCTCCAAGAAACAAGATAAACACCCATCTCTTGGATCTCTTGGTCTTCCACCCATTCTGCAAGCTACAGGCCCCTGCCCCATCATGGCAGGACTCACCCATGGAGCAGCTTGGCAGCTCTGGTGCCCACTTGTTTTTGGCCTGGCACTGCACGCTGGAGGGGCCGCTCATGCGGAAGCCAGGCCGACACATCAACTCCACAATCTCATTTAAGGAAAATACAGTTTTGTTTTCAGATACCATGACTGCATTTTCAACGAGCGGAGGTAAGCACGTATTAGGTAGGATGCACTGAGGGGCAGGGCCGCTCCAGATGCCCACTTCATTATCACTGCTGGTGCAGAATATTCTGGGCTCCCCCACAAGCTGAAAGGTCTTCCCTCTTGTCCCAGTATTGCAGTGATAGGTCACCACCGCTCCATACATGAAATAGTCTCTGTTGATGCTGTAGAAATCTCCATTAGCGATAGTTGGAGGTGGCTCACAAGGAATTCCTGCAAAAAAGGAGAGCAGGTTAAATAAAATGAATTTAAATAACGAAGGAGAAAAAAATCAAATGAGTCTCTAAACTATTCTTATATTCATTATTTGCTTTTAATATTTGCTAATGGGTAGGTAAGACTTTGTAAAGATGTTACTTACCTTGGCATAACGTGTTCTGCCTTTCTACTGTTTGCTGTAAACCCATGCATTTATTAGTACAAACTGCTTTCTTTCAACTTTAAATAGCTTTTGGTTTATGTTATTATAGAGAATACTCTTTTGCCCTTGTTTGATTAATTTTCACCTTGGTTGTTAACTGATTATAGCTTATTGTTTTATTTTTTAAAATTTATTTGGTACAGGGTCTCGCTATGCAGTCTAGATTCATAGTGATCCTCCTGTTTCAGCCTCCTCCGTACTGGGACAACACACGTGCTATTTTGGGACCAGCATGGCACATTCAGTGTTCCAGGGCTGGCACAGCATGGAGTACCAGGGATCAAACCCCGGTCCTTGTGCTTGCCAGGCAGGCACTTTGACCATGAGCTATCTTCCCAGCCCAAACCTAAGGTTTTTTTTTTTTGGTGGCTTCGGGGCTAGGCAAACGCTTAAGCCACTGAGCTATCTCCCTGGCCCCTCGGTATAGTTTTTTTTTTTTGTTGTTGTTGTTGTTGAGAAAAAAATAAAAACTTTCACCAAAAAGAATAGTATGAGAAAAATCACAAATATAGAGAAATAAGAAATGAATATATTTGAGAACATATGTGAGAATATTTATGAAACTGTAGACAACTATGTTAAACACTTTAGAAAGTTAAATGACAGAAATAGAAAATTAAGTAGGCTAGAATTGGCCAAGAAAATTGTAAGAACAAAAAGACGTTCCCTAAGTCCCACCCAACTGTCAAGTAACATAAACTTCCCAATGTGAGTTCAGATGCTCCATGACTTGTCAAGGGCTGAGGCTGTACCCATTCACTCCATCACGCTAAGGCTTCTTAAGGAGGTTTCCGCTTCTAGTAATAGTAATCTCAATAATTCACATCGAATAATACTTGTGCTGGTCCCAAGAAAGTTTTAAAATGCTGGCAATCTAAAGAACACATCTGTGAAGCTCAAAGAGCTAACCAAATAGTGATGCAATACTGGGCCAAGGGAAGGGAGAAGGTGCTAGACATAAAAATGCCCAAATAAACTTCCTCTTATCTAAGTTAATCATTTCAGGTATTTCATATAGTGATGGAAAGCCAGCTGATAGGCTCATTTCATATCTTGAGCTTATTTACCTCCTTGACATTGCTTCTACATGCAGGTTTTCAAACAGAATTCCTGCTACACAAAGATAAGCAGATACTTGAAGAGATAGCATGCATAAGAACCAGCAAAATCAGCGATGACACCATTAGATGTGCATTAGGACTACTGATACTGGAAATCTTGCTTATAAACCTAAAATAACTAAGATATATAAATGTTTTTATAAAAAGAAAAAATATTGATTGTTGACAGAATATAAAGATAGCAGTAGGGAACTGGCAGGATGCTATAAATGGAGTTAAATTATTTGGGCTCTGTTTGCATTGCTGAGGCTTAGTAAAAATACAGTTTAAGTTAGATCATAATAAATCAAAGGTCTGCATTGTTTCTCGGTCACTCATTAAAAATAGAAGAATAACAAAATAAATATAGCAAAAATGCTGCTCAGAGGACATTTGGACTAATAAAAATACTTCATTAATTTTAAAACTGTGATGAATGAGGAATAAAGGAATATGAAACAAACACAAAGGTGTTAGGTTTATACCTAACTATAGCAGTAACCATACCAAATTTAAATGTTCTAAACACTTCACCTAACAACAAATTGTGCAGAAAATGTGAAGAATGTGCAGATAAAGTATTGAACTTATAAGTAAACTTAGCAAGATTGCTGGATCCAAGGTCAAACAAATAGAATGGACTTCAAAAAATAATATGTAAGAGTAAATCTAATGGAAGATGTAAAATACTTCTGTAATGTAAATTAGCAAATATTACTGAAAGAAATTAAATATTTCAAAAATAGTTGGTTCATGCTAATGAGTCTAGAACTCAAAATGTAAATTTGTTAATTGTTTATGAATCAATTTATTGAGTTAATAGAAAATAAAATTCAAGTTGGATTCTTTTTGTGGACATTGGCATGATGATTCTAAATTTTTATGGAAATGCAAAGGTCAAAAAACCACCAAGCAAACCTAGAAGAAGCTCATAGTCAAAAGTTATTTGCTACCAAACAGCAAATCCTCGTACAATGCCATTATAGTAATTTACTGGATAAATAACAGTGCCTTTCTGGAATAAGACCAACATATAATGTCATTGGACTTATAGCCATGATTCTGCCATATTGCGGTGTGCAAGGAATAGTCTTTTAAATAAATAACATTAAAACAGTAGCCTGTCCACCCTGAAAGTCAGACAGAACACCCTAAAGTTTCATTGTACTTCTTGCAAATCCTAGAGTTAACCATGAAGACAACACAATAAAGTGTAAAGAGGGCAACATAGGAAACTATTCTTTAGAACAGGCCAGGATTTCTTGAGTAGAGCAGCCAAAACAGTAACTAGAAAGGAAATATTCATTAGTCTACCACTATTATCATATAGAACTTCAAGGCTGAGAGTGTGGCTTCATGGTCAATTGTGTATTTAAACCAAGGGGCCCTGGGTTCAATTTCCATCACTCTTCCATCCCAGAAGTAGAATTTCCATTATTAAAAATCATCATTAAGAAAGTGAAAAAGGGCTAGGGAAATGGCTCAGTAGAATAAGCGCTTGCCTGGCAAGCGCAAGGGCCTGAGTTCAATCCTCAGTCCCGCAAAAAAAGAAAAAAGAAAGTAAAAAACAAAGCTATAGCCTGAAAGAAAATACTGTTTAAATGTTTAAAAAAACATTTAATATTAAACATCTTAAACACAAATGTTTAATATATTTATTGGGGGATATATAAGAATAAATAACTTATAAAACAAAAAGGTAAATGAACTCTAAATAATAGGCACAAGGTTTGAACAGGTACTTTGCAAGCTTATAAAATGTTTTGGTTTTTTTTGAGGATGTGAACAATTCATTTTATTCTACACTTTTCTTTTTTAGTTATTATTTTTAAAAATAATTTTATTGAGAAACAAATAGCAATGGTTTCACAACCAATTACTAGCACAGTTTCAATAATTAATACATTGCATATTGTTGTCTTAGTGGTTGTTCATTGTACAAGATGCAGACCTGATATTCTGTCCACAAACACTATTAGAATAAATCTCTCTATTCATTGAATTAAGAGAATGCAGCTGTATATCTATCCTAACTATTTTGAATATACAGATACAAAATGGTCCTTCATTTGTAACCCCTTTTTTGTTTCGCTTTGTCAGGGAAGGGTATTCCATTGTCATTTAAATATTGTAGGTGCATGAATTCAGCAAAATATTCCAATATAGTCCAGTAGTCCATACTAGTAGTGGGTTTTCCGTAAGACTGGCAATGTCAGAAGTTGTTGACTTGAGCCTTTTACAGCTCAGCATATTATTATGGCTTATAAAAATGTTGATAAACACATAATGATCAGTATTAAAAAAGCATCATAAATCATTCAAAAATACAAATTACTTTAAGCCACTTGGACATATGTGTCCCAGCATATTCCCACTAGAGCAGCAATGTTAGTTGCTGACTTTTTTGTCACTGGCTGATGGCAGAGAGTCACCTAATTTGTATAAGCAGAAGAGGTCTAGGCCTAGGGAATAGAGGCTTGGTTTGAACTGGCACTAAAGAGGCACAGTTCGTCCACAAATTCCACATGTAAAGCCTTAGCTACTGAGGGTTAGTTATAGGGAAGTTTATTGAATTAGAAACTGATATAAAAACAGAGATACAGGCATAGCTGTGTTATCTTTCAATAAAATGAGATCTTATCCATTATCTGTCTTGAGTCTTTTTTCAAATAAAATTTACATTTCTAGGATGCTACGTACTTCTTCATACTATCTTTTATATTTCATAGCACTCCAGTGTACAGATGTATTTTTCATAATTTTGTGTGAATATTTTGCTTCTTAGGAAATTCTTTAAAATCATTTTAACTTATCTCTTTCCTTTTTAGTAAATTATTTCCAAATCATCATTTGAAAGATATAGTGAACTTTAGCTACTTTAACATTTCTACTTTTATAAGAATGCTGCAAAGGAAAGTATGTAGTAAACTTCTTGAAAAGTATCTGTATTATTATTATTTTTGTACTTGTACAGTATCTACAAGATCTCACTACAGAAATCCAACTCCTTGTGATCCTCTTATTTTCAGCCTCCAAGTGCTGGGATTATAGGCGTGTGCCCGCAGGCCCAGTCTCCATGTCTCAGGGTGCCTGAGGATCAGGGCTGGCATGGCAGGCTAGGGATCGAGCCCTGGTACTTGTGCCTGCCTTAAGCAGGCGCTTTAGTCTGCTGAGCTATCTGGCCGGCCCCATATTATTTTCTAAGTGTATATCCCAAGAGATGGGTCAAAATAAATTCTGACTTTCTGTTTGACAGTGCCCTGTGCTTTTCAAGATTTATTGTATCCCTAAGATGTTAGAGTGCTGGTTCATCCACAGTTTTGTTAACCTTTATGAATATGCCAGGTCGAACATCTAGTATAGCTGAAATTGCAGAACCAACTTAAGTCCAAGTTAACTGAATTAAAAATAAGATTTGAAGGGCTCTACGTATTTGAGGCCCCATATTCAGAGAAGGTGTGTTCCAGCAGAAGGGGAAACTTAAGGAGACAGGTCTTTGAGGACCTCAGGGGGAATATTCGAGCACATTATAGCTGTCTTCTGCTATCTGAAGGACTGATGTCACAAAAGGAATTAGATAAATATGTTAATAAATCCTGGAGGAGTAGATTAGTGGTGGAGCACCTGTTTAGTATGTATACATTTTGGGCTTAGGTTCCCAGCATCACATACACACTGGTAGTTCCAGAGGGAAGTGGAAATCCATTAGCAAACATGGTAAGAAAGAATGTTTCAACTTACTCTCACAGACAGGCGGTTCGTTATCCCACACAACAGCACTGCCCGAGAGCACACACATGGCGGTGGAGGAACCAATAAGGCGGTACCTGGGGGACAGAACAGGGTTGGAACGAGCTTCACGCACAGGTAATGCGCCCACTTCGTGTACTACTTTGAAGGAACTTTAGCTTTTTCTACTTGTGCAAACACACTGCATTCCCAGCATTTCACATCTTTCTTGGCCTTTTTTGGTTGCTTTTTCATGCCTTCTCAACTGGATGATGTTTCTCTTTATCATCTATGTAGAACATTTTAATAACCTAAGTTAAATTATAGTTATTTACCCCAAGTGTAAGCTTTTCAAAGACATTAAAAATTTCTTGAGCACAAGGAACATACTATATACCCACGTATGCATAAATGGGGTAGTCAAAATACAGGGTGAATATTTTACAATTTATTACACTTACACCTTGGGCTTTTGGGATCCCACCCAGAAAAACCATTGCTCAGATGAATATTAAGAATTTTTTCCTGAAGTTGTTTTTTTAGAAGGAATTTTAAGTTTCAATTCTTAACATTCAAATCTTTAATCTACTTTAGTAAATTTTGTATAAATAGTGCAAACTAAGTTTACAACTTTGTTCTTCTGCATGTAGATATTTAGTTTTTCCAATGCTGTTTATTGAAGAATCTGCCTTTCCTCCACTGGGTAGATGGACCCCTCTACTCTATGCCAGTGTCTATCTGTTTTTATGCCACTACCATGCTGATTTGATTACTACAGACAGCTTGGTAGCACATTTTGAAATCTGGTATATTGTAGGCCTCCAGGTTTGTTCTTTTTTTGTAATACTGCTTTGGCCACTCAGTATTTGTGTGGTTCCACATGAATTTTGAGTTTCTTTTGTATGCTTCTCTGGATAATGTCCTTAGCATTCTGACAGGAATTCTATATGGAATCTGTAGGTTGTTTAAGGGTGATGTGGAAATTTTAACAATATCAGTTTTAACAGTATCAAATTTTAACAAACTATGAACCTTCCATGTATTTCATGTCTTTCATTTTTTCCTTTTTTTTTTATAGAGTGTAGAGTTCTTTCACTTCTGTAAACTTATTGCAACTAGATTATACTTCAGATGCTATATTTTTTTCTCATTAAACTTTGTTTTAATGGCTCTCAAAATTCTGTGACAGATTTTTGGCAGGTTGTTTCCATTAAAAAGTATTGATTTAAAAAAAGAACAACAAAAACAAAACAAAACAAAAAACAAAGGGCCAGGGAGATGGCTCAGTGGAATAAGTGCTTCCCTGGCAAGCGCAAGGGCCTGAGTTCAATCCCCCGGTTCCGCAAAAA